AAACTGTGGGTCGCGAACATTTTCCCAGAATAAAAAAATCACTACGTCTGCATCCGCTCAGGATAAAACATGCCCTGCAGAAAAGGGCAATCAGTTTTCTTCACGTCATAATTACTTTGAAAATGCCTCGTTCTGGATTCCGGTGGGTCGCGAATTTTTTGTGCGTCAGAAAGTGGGTCGCGAATTAAAGAACCACTGCTTCATAGGCTCAAGGTTCGCGTACGAACGTCAAGTGGCATTTTCGTTCATTATGATTACTTACTCCTTTACCACTCTGCAGTTGTAGTAATCCTAAAGGGCATCATGTGAATGCTCTACTTCTCAGCTTCGCGCATTGAAAAATTCAAAGGGCGTTAGTCGGTGCCAACCTTCATCTATTTTCCATGTTTCTCTCTCTGTCCACTATTCCAGGAAAAGCCAATCCCAAAGGAGTAGTAATATTAAAGGAAAGTCTCGAAGAGATTCAAATCCAGTCGGTGCCGTCTCCAAGAAGCGATTCCTTCTTGGACTTCATCGCTCATTCAAAGGCACCTGTTCCATTATTCAAAACATGGAGTGACTTTATGCGCAGACGTTATATGTTTTTACAGAATATTATTACGCCCAGAAGTCATGTTTCCTTGTTTTAGGGATTCTAAATTTAGGAATGCAAAACGATTCTTGCACAAACAAAGGCTTTCTATTCGATCGTCAGAACAACAGCAACGAGAGTTCGATAACGTACTTTCAGATATTCGAAAGTGCCAGAACTTAACTGAACGCGATGAATCTAGAGATCTTGGGGAAAGATGGACAAAACTACATATGGGAGCGAAGGTCATGAGGGTTGGAATATACATTTTAAAGGCCCACAACTTCCTTCTTCCGTGCTGGAATCTCGGAAGGAGGAGGAGTAAACGTCCATAGGAGCTCTCACCTAATTTGAGTGGAGAAGATTTAGTACTTGTAGGATGGGATTCTACTCTTCCCTAATTCCGTGCACTGCTGTAATAAAAAGCTTAACTTCAGCATTTAATGATACCCTGAGTCATATATTATAAATATATATATAATAATTTCATGCTTTCCATATATATATTCATGGATTGCATAATAAAAAAGTGGAAGGATGGTAAGAAAATCTAATATTCTATCAGGAAAGCCAGTACTTAATAGTATTTGTAGGATGCAGGGAACAAGGGTTTCATCTAGTGAGGAATCTTGGTACTGCAACTGCAGGATGGTCAGCTAAAGTTTCATATGGATGGTGTGGCGTTAATTTTGCATAAACTTGATATGTACTTCACGTCATCTGGAGTGACGTCTAGTTTATGCAAAATGCACGTACACTTTGGTGACGTAAATATAGGAACGTAAATTTTACGTAAACGTGATGTCATTTTCATGGCAATCGCAAGAAATTTACATTGTTTGCAAAGAATTGATATCTTGTTTACGTAAACATGCTGCTTGAGTACTGGTTCTCCGGCCAATATTTTCATTTCTAACTCCCTACGCCGCTGAACTCAGTACAAGGAATCTAGAGGAAACTCCGGCTCGGAGGATGGAGGGAGGATCCTTCAACTTACGAGGTGACTCCATGGGAAACCCATGTGAAGCGAGGATGATAGCGTGTATCATTTCTTTACGGCGCACCGGGTGCGGGATATGTCTAACTCCTCGAGAGGGGATAGATTCGTATGTGATGGAATATTTAACACGGTTGAGCCACTTCGACACGCAACTCCGGAGCAGGATTTCTCCCAAGTGCGCCATAAAGGCATAACCCTGAAAGGAACGTTAATTGAACATTCATTAAGCATTAAGTGTTCCGGGTGCAACTTGGGCACGTTTAATTCGATACTATAAATCAGGGATGCCCAAAGTGCGGCCCGCGAAGGGCTTTAGTGAGGCCCGCAAGGAGTTGTGGAAGAAATAATTATAAAATGTTTATGTTAATGCATGTATGATTTCATGTGCTGTGGAATGAACGAAGTATAGCTTGACTAGGATTAAATTCACCCGCAGGTGAGTACGGTCTATTCCCGGCCAAAATTTTCGGATATGGAATCCTCCTGACACTTTTATTGAGGGCAACCATAAGGCGCTTATCTGGACTGGCCTCCATGAGCCATCTGTGAGGGGGAGAATCTGCAGGGTTGCCAGATTTAGCTGGAAATTGCATTGCACGCATCACTCAATAGAACTTATTTGAATAATTTTCACGCGCAAATTTCTGACAAATTGATGCTGTCAGAATGCTCCCAGTGGCCGCCACGACATCGCAAACACACCGCAGTATGAGATTCACACGAAGATAACATAAAAATTCATGCCACCTTCTGAAATACTTATCTGTTTTTACAATCCCACCTGGAAGGGGTGACGGGAGAAAAGGAGAAAAACCCTGGACTTTATTGCTCCATCCTCATCTGTCAAGCTTACTGTATATGTCTCTCGTCTCTCAAAGGACAAATAAGAAGGGACAATGTCGTCGAAACGGGTTCATTCCACGAGGACTGGGATTATCAGTCGAGCCGTGGAACCATACAAAGCGACAGCGTGGGTTTGTGAGTTGCAGTTTGGAATTTATTTTCCTATGGCCATGTCAACAGTAAGTAGAAAACGTCGCATTGATGAAGAAAATCGCGTATTTCAAGACAAATGGACTCACGAGTACTTTGTCATTGAACAAGATGGGAAACCTCTGTTTAATTTGCAAGCAAAAAATAGCAGTGATGAAAGAATACAACATGAAGCGTCATTTTGAGACGAATCACAAAATTTTAAATCAATTTTTGGACAATCAAAGGAAGCAAAAAGCTGAGAATTTTTGCAGATTCCTTTTCATGCGACCCTGAAACTGCATCCAGAAGGAACTCATCGAACTGCAGGAGTGCACCGGCTGGCTTCCTTTCGTGACCTTCACCTCGACCAGTTCTACGCAGACTTTCCAGCCCAAACGTATCCAGCTCTGCGTAAGCACGGCCATCGTACGGTATCTCTTTTTGGAAGTACATACATTTACGAGACTTTCTCAATCATGAGTCTCGATAAATCAAAATGGTGGACAAGATTCACGGATGAACATATCACTCAGTGCTGCGAATCTCAACTACCAACTACGAGCCAAAGTATCCTCGGATGATTGCTGAAAAATCCCAGCTCCATATGTCCAACAGTAAAAATTAAAGTTAGCGATTTTTCTTGTATAATATTTATCATGCAGAAAAGCCAGTTTTCGATTTTGCGGCCCGCGAGCCCGTACCCCACAGGCTATGAGGCCCCCATGACCCAAAATGTTTGACATCCCTGCTTTAAATGAACGTAGGAGAAGCGTTCATCCAACGCTCTCGGGTTTAATGTTGCATTACGCGCTTTTAAAAGGGATATTTCAACGCTGTGCTTACATTCGCTGCAATGCTGGTACAGCGTTAAAAGTGTTTGAAGGAACGTTGCCATAGGACGTGTTTGCTGGGTTTCCATCTTCTGTCCGGCTCCGAACTAACCATGGCTCGCTTAAGGATTTGCCACTTGTATCTTTCCGCAGAACCAAAAACTTCAGGGACCCTCTTGTCTCCTGCTTTTTCCTTTACTCCTTGCACCCTGGGGTGCTTCCCTTGCAGATTTCTCCCCACGTCCTTGGGTCGCTTATGTCATTACTTGCTCCATTTGTTTGTCGTTTCTACCATCAATTTCCCGCGCAGTAGACTCACTGGTCACCGATCCGATATCCGTATTTCAAAGGACACCCCTATCTCACGCCATTTCCAGGTGCACAACGTCTTTCCGTCCAAGCAATAGATTCGGTGACCTTACAATTCCAAAGCAATAGATTTGCGATCTATGGAGTTGGCAGTAGTCTATTACCTCAGGACGTTCTGCCCTGATGGCACAACGTAAATAGTTCAGAAAACTCAGTTCCATATATCCCCTAAAGGCCATCTATGCCTGACAACGGACTCATTGACCCCTCTTTGTTTGTCTCCCAGTTGTTTTCCACGTGAAGAAGGTGATAAGAAGGGCATCGCCCGATAGCTCGTTTTATCTCTCGTATTTCTGGTTTTACTGTCCAGTTTTATTAATACATGCTTTACTTACCTCTTTACCTTTCACCTGCTTTAGAACCGTTGTGGAGCGCTTTCAAGCTTTAAAAACGCTATCGCGGCTGATACTGGCTATTTTTCACTTTAGCAGTCCGATCGAGGAAGAAAAGGCATATTGATCTGAAAAAATGATAAGAATGAGGAAGCTGAAACGGTCTCGAAGGGCAAAATTGGGGTTGTCCTTGATGGGATGAGAAGCGGATGATGAGGTGAACCGGTTATTGTAATTCTCCGTAATTCTCGTTTCTGATGGGCGACATGATGTGAATACCCGGATATTCTGGAAGGATAAAAAAGATCGCGTCGAAGACAAACTCCTGCTCCCTCTTGAATCGTGCTCAGTGAGAGAGGAAACATGGCCTCGCAAGGAATCCTTCTACTCATATTAATTGTGAACATCGTGCCTTCATTCGACGCATTTCGTTCGTCAGGTCAACGCTGCCAATGCGGCAATGAATCCTCCCCCGTGTGCGGATCCGACGGCGTAACTTATCACAGCAAGTGCCATCTCGACTGCGAAAATAACAGCAGGAGGGGTCTGCAACTCTCAAGTCTCCAAGAAACGTAACTCGGTGGAAATTATTCATTTGTTTCTTTTTGTGTGTCGATATTCCAGATCCAAGGTATTGTCGCCTGACGGATCTCGGAACGGAGTATGTGGGCACCAGATCGGAAACGAGACAGGGGGAACGATGCACTCCTTGGAGCAGAAACAGGGGGACGTACGAAAGACCAGATGTGCCCCAGGATCCCATCAGCGATGAGAATTTCCCCGATGGGAGTGTCCAACAGGCGAAGAATTACTGCAGGAATCCGGATAGGGCAGGTGACGGCCTTTGGTGCTTCACAGGATATGGGGACCAGCTTTCTTTCGGTCTCTGCAACGTCCCCCTTTGCTTACCAGGCGAGTTCTTAATGCAAACAGTAAGTTTGCTAATCCCGGTCATTAATATCGTGAGAAGGTTGCCTTCGAGCGCCCACTGTCCAATAATAATCAGGTTGAAAGCATTTTCCTATCTTCCATGCTTAGTCAACTGTTAACTGTTATGTCTTAGTCAACAAGAAAAATTAGACCTAGTTCATACTCGTACTTTACAGCGTGCTGAATGCTGCAACTGCACGCTGTACTGAAAAATCCAATCCAGCATGTCCAACTGCTGGGGCCAGTTCCTCGCCTCTGCTAAATTTAAATATAAATGAAAATATAAATTTTAGGCTATACATTAGTCTAAATCTAAATCTAAACTTAATCTACTCTGAAAGCAGCCTAAAAGCAAAATATTTAGATTTAGATTTAGATTTAAGTTTAGTAGAGGCGAGGAACGGGCCCCGAGACTGCAATCCTGTGATGCTTCAAGAAATATGTTTTACAGCAGCAAGATCCTCCATGTTGTTCGGCAAAAAGTTCGTGCTGTACAGCAAGCTGGATGGAATAGAAACCATTCCTATTTATTTATTTTTGGATGCAGTAGAACATATAGTACAGTAGATGCAATGCTGTATCTGCTGGATGAGCGAAGAGTTTTGTAGTCCGTTAAACGGATTGCTGCTGTGTATTGCATTGAGCGTACAGAGCATGCTGTACAAAGCTGTACAGCAGGAGTATGAACTCGGTCTTACTCTTCATCGCAATTGACCAGGAAGCTATTTTATTTTTAAATTTTGGGGGAAAATTGGTCCCCAATTTTCAAAGCTGTCTGAATTGGACGTGAATGATGGAGATGCATTTCCTCAGCTACCTCTCAGCATTCTTTTCTCTTAAGAAGCAATGGGTCTTTCTGTGAGCATTATACAGTAGTTCTTGTTCTACGGCAGTAAACATTTCTAGAAATCAAGACAATATGTTTTCGCTTTACCCATTCACGAAGCAAAAATGCTTTTTTTCTCATTGCAGCAAAAAATATAGGAACTAGGATAAGACTGAAACTATCACATTCAGGTAGGGTAAAATACTGAGAGATGGGGCCTGTTCTCAGTGAATGCCGCGGAACAGCAGAATCCCAACTACACTCCTGCGAACATAAATGTCGCTGCAGGGGTATGCGTGCCTTGCATGTTTAGTTGTTAGGATTTTTCTGCTTCGTACCCTAACAATGGGTACTGTCCCATCGCTGTGTATTTTACCGTACTTTCTTCACTGGCATAAGGAGGGTACTCTACGGAAAAAAAAGCAAAAGCACTGCCTAAAAGCCTAAAAGTTTTTGTAACCATTGTAAAATATGGTTTTCTTTTCACAGAGATATCCATGAAGCACGACGGAAAATGCAGAAGAGGTTCTTAACTTCACATTCCTATGAACATTTTCTGAGGATTTGGATTCAAATGAATAAAGAAAGAGTGCATGTTGAAATAGGGGCTCTCACCCCAAGTGTTTCAATCACATTTGTTATAGAGCTCTAACCAAGACACAGTCGGTCTCACTCTCAAATATACGTTCATCATACAAATTAACGTTCACGACATGTCGGTCCCACAGGTTGCTTGAACAAGAGTGGTTCATTTGGAAACCATGCCGATATACTACAGCTAGAAAGGCAAGTTCGGGCAAAGGTAGACCTTGGACAGCGATGATTTTCTGTCCGCACTGATTCACAGGGATGCATAACGCCATGCTAGTTCCCATACAACAAATCGCTTGTCACATCTGTCAGCTCCAAAACAGAAAATTTGAGAAGGGATCAGGAAAGCCTCTAGGAGCTCGCTAGCGAACATCAAAATCGACTGACTTTTCATGGCCTCTGAACAATTCCAAGAGAGCAGACATTTTACCTGACTTCCGGCAGATGACTCTGCCGTCGGAAAAGTATGGCGCTTCGCATTCACAAGTACCTTCCGTTTCGGGAGCTCGTGACATGTTACGATTGCTAAGATGAATATCGACGGTCTACCTGTGATTGGGAGGGGCATTGATCTGAAAAAGGTATTGGTTTCGCATCATTATTCCCTAAATATGAGTACATACTTGTGACTAGAGGTCTGTGCTTATATTTCGCTCATAGGGATGAACTCACCTTGAGGGGTGATAAAAGTACCCAAGCCTGCTTCGGATTGATTTTCCCTGGAGTTAACGTTTGACCCATACTTTTCTTTGACCTGCGCTGTCGATGTGTGAAGTAGAAGCTCTCTCATTTAGGAGGAGTATCGCTTCATGGTCTTGAATCGTTGCTGTATCTCATGGCCATTAATGGTGATTGTGATGATTTGGATTTAGAGCACTATTGACAATGTTATGGAAAGGGGTAGGTGGGTAAAAGTCCATCAGAAAACAATATGTAGTCTCAAGTATCTAAGCTAGACTTTGCCTGCTCTATTGTCTTTGTAAGCAACTATTACAAGATCTAACAACTGTCTTAGGGGGAAAAAAGAAACTAAACTAAATATTAGCCTACAGTGAATTCTGATTATACATTTCTGGACTCACTACACTTTGAAACATTGTACAGTTAGAAAACTGAATGAGTTCTACTCTGAAGTTTGCACTTTGGATATGTAAAGTTTATTGCACTTTATTTTTTAAGTACAGGGTGGTCCACAATTGTCTCCCCAAAAGTAAAAGGTTATTACTCAGGAATTATACATCCAATTTCAATTATATACGACTCAAATGATAGCCAATTCGATAAATTTTTACTGTGGAGAATTTCAGCATTCCAGAAGAAACTAGAACAAAGTTACATCCTTATAAATGAAAACCACCAAATCACCTGTGTTCAATGTGACTTCCACAATTGCCAATGACTTGATGCAGTCTCTCTTTGAATGCCAGCAGAATTCTTTCAGTCATCTCTGGTTCTACTGTGGCAAAGGCATCTCTAATGGCCTGTTTCAGCATGTCTAGGTTGTCATAGGTCTACTGATGAATCTCTTCAGGTTCAGAAACCTCTTATGAATTGCCTTAATGATCTCCTCAGGAACTGAGGTTTTTGGACCCAAACTGAAGAAATTTCCAAATTTTCCCCCACACAAATTTGCTCTCTTCAAATTATCAAACCAAATGGCAATATTCGTCTTCTGCAGGATACTGAGGTCACCCACGACAAACAATCCCTCATGATGCATGGAATACCCACAAATGAATTGTGAAACTCAAGATGGAATTGTGAAATTCAGAAGGGATTGCGATATTCACAGACTTTAATTGCATGATATGGGTACTATCATTTGTTATGGGGTAACTTTATTCTAGTTTCTTATGGAATGCTGAAAATTTCCACATTAAAAATATATTGAATTGGCTATCATTTGAGTCATGTATTATTGAAATCAGATGTACACTTCCTGAGTAATAAACTTTTACTTTTGGGGAGACAATTGTGGACCACCCTGTATTGGTTGACGAGTCTACCACATTCCAGTGAAACAATGACGATCCCTCATTGATCATCAGGGCTCACAGAGTACTGGATAACTGCTATGATCTCTTTTCTTCCAAGCCTAAAAGCCTATTAAAGATCTTCCTTCATCTGTGAAATCTCCTTTTTTTGTTAGTGATGGTACCAAGGTTTGCCATCCCATCAAGGCAATGGCTGATTTGCTGAATATCATTTTGGATTGAATGTCTTTTACCAATTTTGAGCTGCTTGACCTATGATTATTTTCTTCCATAGGTGCCACCCATCAATCAGAAACGAACACTTGCATTTCTCAACCACTTCATCATTGAGACAGTGAATTTTCTCAACAAGTTTGCTGAAGCATGCGAAGTGAAATTAGAAGATATGAATAGAAGACTGGTACAAGTGGAAACCTGCCTCAGCATCTTAGAAGCCAAGGTGAGATATTTGGAACCAGGAGTAGTAACCAATAGAGGAGTTGCATATAATGTCTAGTATGGCAAAGAAACAGTAAAATATGCCTGAACTTGCTCTCACATATCTTTATTCCATTCAGAACGAGGCTTTGAATTCCTTTGATTTGCCAAATATAGGGCCTTTGTTTTTTATGCTCTCAATGTATAACTAACTTTAGCTGAAAATCTTTTATCGATGGGCAGGGCCTAGTGTTGAAAATGAAATAGATTCTGTTGAGTTAATTATGAAGCAAAAACTTTGGAGGTGATCATGGAATGTCTAAATTGGGATCAGTGGCTGGGAAATCCCCAAATCAGAGATTCTTGCTCAGGAACATCTTTCTATCACTCAAAAATGATTGAAATTTTCTACTTTCATATTACATATATATTAGGCATATGCATAAAAATGTGATTGGAATGTTTAATTTGTACACATAACTTTTTGCATAACTTTGTATGCATAACATTTTTGTTTTAACTTCACTAGCATAAGCTTTGCATTCCTTGTTAATTATCTCACTGAATGATCACTATGGAGCAGATTTTTATGCAAATGCATATTTTTCCTGCAGCCTCCTATGAACATGCAACCCAGATAGGATCATGTCTCATTGATAGAGGAAGCCAATTATGCCATTTAAAAAATGCATAAAAATGCATATTTTCACATTTTTCTCAACTTTTGCATATTTATGCATATTTTGCCCATTTTTATGGGAAAAATAAGGGTTTTCCTGGAAAGTGTGCTTTCTTTATGAGCTATAGAGGAAAATTCTCATGCAGTTATGAAGTCTGACCAGCAGCGTAGTGAGGGGGGGTGAAGCTCTCGAACTCTGCTCTAGATTCATGTGTCACCTCCACCCCTCCTGAGAAGTTTAGGAATTCTAGTGCCCGTTCTTTTCCATCGCTGCTGGCTGTGACAAGAATAGAACAACTATACCCAGTTGAGGCATGTAATGTACATTAAAGTTCCTTCTGGCAAATTCATATTGCATTTAAAAAAAAACATGTTTTTGCATATTTTCCCTTATTCATGTATATCTCCTGCATATTTTGGCAGTTTTATGTGCATATTTCAGGAGTTATTAGTGCATAAAAATCTGCTCCGTAATGATCACTAAGTTATGCAAATTAGACTCAGAATTTTTATCCTTTTTGCTTTGTCTTCGTATGAGTGTTTGATATTTTTCCTGCATTTCTTTTGCTCTAGAGTAATGTCAGTCCTAAATGCTATTTTGATGCACATGAAATGTATTAAAATCCTTACAATTACCCTAGTCCCTTTCTTAATGCCATTGAGCACACATTCTCTGGATTTAAGGTAGAAATAATAAGAAATCTTAGCTGACAGATCCACATTTGTGACAGGGCTAAAGCTGCTGCTCAGAGCGTGACAATGTAGCAACACAGGGTTCATACATTGACAGCAGTTGCATTGATGGCACTTTCTATGCACACACAATGCTACAGTCAGCTGTGTTACATGCTATAAAAAGTACTGGGCAAGTGTCTGGAGCAAGAACCCATAATGGAATGAACCCAGAGCCCCAATGCAGAAAATTTTCCACTTATTTTAGCTCCTTACACCTTCCTATGTCTACATCATCATGTCATTTATGTCTGTATTTGTTGCTGTTAATGAAAAATCCAGAAGGCATGTGAAGGGCACAAGAGCTTCAATGGAGGGAGAGTGAAAGTGAGAGGAGGAGGGCCATGCAAAAGGGGCTACCTCAAAAGGGGCTCAGGATTCTGGGTGATTTTCTACTTCTAAGTAGAAAAGGGGATTTTCTGGGGATACATCATTCTTCAGTTGTTTTTGGTTTTTTTTTTTTTTTGGAGGTATATCACCTAACAGACTTTTACAACTAATATGCTTCAGAAATATTTTTTGTATTAAGCTTGCCAATAAGAAGGCTGAAACTAGGCTCATTTGTTGGCCTTCTCTACATTTCTTAAGTAATAGTTGTCATGCTTGATACTTTGATGATGACATAATTTGGATGCTTTGTATTTCACAGTTGAGTTCTATCCCTGGTCTGGAGAAAGAAAAACAAAGCAGTGATCCATGTGAATTATCTGCAGAGCCCCTTCCTAATGGGGACACAAATAAAGGGAATCAAATTACTTCAGTAGGTAAGCTATAGCCCTGTCTTTCAGTTGATCACTGAACTTCAGTTAAGGTGAATGCTGAAACTGCATGGCGTTGAGTACAGGGTTGTTATGAAGTCATCACTCTATTTTAATTGGCCATAACTTTTCAAGGGACAGCCAGATGCAGCTAATACTTTACATAGATGTTCATGAGTCAGATTTTTTTTCCCACTACCACAAAATGTTACTGCATGCCAATAGAGGATGCTGTAGTCAACTGCAGCACCCCCAATCTACATGCTATACCATTTTTCAGGTATATAAAAAAAAAATTTTTAGGCCCATAAGTCTCTGCTAAATATCAGCTGCATTCAAGAGTTCTTTCAAAAGATATGGTCAAAGTTGGATGGTGACTTGTTACCATCTTACTTTGGTCATAAGTTTTGAATTTGAATTTTAGATGCAGCTGATGTTTGACATAGATGTTCATGAGCATAAAAACTTATTCATCCTACCTGTTTTTCTGCTGCTTACTTTTTATTTTGAATGTGTCAGGTGATGCTTTTCTTTTTAGAAGCAGATGGTGCAGAAGCAAGAATCAAATATCATGAATCAGTTGAGATAATAGAGAAGCCAATATCTGTGACTCAAGAGAAGCCCCCTGCAGACCCTCGACTGGCAAAATACCTCAAGATGCTCCAAGTTGGAATTCCATTGCCTGCTGTCCGCCAGAAGATGGCTATGGAAAATATTGATCCTAGCCTACTTCAGTATGTCCCCTGCATTCTCAACACATTTATCCAAAGTCAACATGAAATACAATTTTGCCCAGTTGAATTCAAACAAAAACATGACATTTTCTTCCACACAGAGTTGCAGCACAGGAAGAAGCAGAAGCATCAGCTGCACCCACAGAACCTGAAGTCTTGGGGCCCAGATCACAATCTAGCTCATCTTCTGAAGCTTCTTCTTTCTCCAGCACCAGTGATGAGTAAATTCTTGGAAGATAATCACCTTCAACTGTGATTTGTCATCCCTCCTCTCAATGTGATAGCTGTTCTTGATGAGCTTCTATGCATTTGTTATATTTGCTGTCAGATGGGGATTATTTCCCATGTGTTGAGTTATGCACCTATGCTTTACTGCAAGTCAACTTGCTTCTTCCCTCTCTTTGCATATTGATGAGGGCTTTCAAATTTGTGTTTTATAATAAACATTGAGAGTCTATATTTCATCTGTTGACTGGTTGCAATTATTCAGAAATACCACAATTTACTTTTCATTTTGAATATCATTAGGATTTAAACATGGATGTTTCTTATTTTTGGGATGTGTGCAGTAGGCTATAGATCTTTCAAAAATTTGGAGTTATTTCCAAACTGATGAAAACCTAAGATGAAGAAGTAAGCTACTGAAAGTAGACAAGGTACTTTTTTCATTCAAGGGCACTTTTATTCCCAGACAGATTTTTCAATATATAACTCTCTTTACAAAGAAAGGAGATTGGTGACTTCAGCTGTCGGGACCACTCAACACATTTCCTTCTTAGAACTGGATCATTTGTCCCTGTGAAAAGAAGCAAACAAATCTTTCAATTCAATTGAAACTAATCAAATGAATAAAACCTCCAGATCTTAATGGCACTGCTAAATACAAAACCAAGAGTAGCTAACCTTTCGTTTCTTATCTCCACCCAACTCAAAGTGTTTGCATCGCTTGAGGGGAATGTGATGCCTGTATTTGCAATCTGTGCACTCAAGCCTCAACACAATCTTCTTGGTAGTCTTGGCCTAGGGAACACAAGTACAGAATTATACAGATATCTCCACACTGAAATGTGGGGCCTACTTTAAAAAAACAAAAAACAAACGAATTAAAGAAAACTGGAACTATTTTTTTCTCTTTGCCCTCCTGAATAAGAATGTGATTCATGTGACCAAAATCCTGCTTATTAGGTACAACAAAAAATGAAGGCATTAAAACCCATGTCTTTCATCTCATCGTAAGAATGTTCCACCTTCCTATTAATTACCTCCAGTAATTGTCAACTCTCAGAAATGAATGCTCTAACACAAATGAACATCATTTGCAGAGCTCTCATCTTGGAATTACTAAAGCATACTTTTATAGCATACTCTCTATATTATCATTATAGGAAAGAGGAAGATGAAGCCACCTTGGTACATGTTGGAAAAAACTAGAGCTGCAGTAGGCCTTGCATTGACAATTACTTGATGTGGCAGTTATGAATGAGCATCCAGCAACGATACAAGAATGTTCGGATTATGATTATGCTGTTTGAATACAATATCTTCAAAGGGAGAACAAGGAGACAAGAGACTATTATTGATAGACTTTATGTATTAGCAGAATAAAAATTTGAGTCATTTTGATGTCTCCTTCCCCTTCACACTTTGAGCCCTGTGTGATGACTTTGGCAGAAACAAACAAACTGTTTCCTCCAGGGACCATTCAGTAGCTTGATGACAAAACTTTGTTTCTTGTTCAGAAGAAAGCTTGAAAATTTTTATCTCTTATGCTTTCCCAACAGCTTTCACTGGTCCAAGAAACAGTTACATAAAACCAGAGGCTCAATGTACTTGCTAGGATGATTTGTGAATTTTACCTTCTTCCTGAAGATGGGCTTTGTCTGACCACCATAGCCCTTCTGCTTACGATCATATCGACGTCGTCCTTGAGCATTGCTTCTCTCTTTGCTCTTCTTGTACTGGGTCACCTTATGAGTTTTGTGGGTTTTGCAATTGGTGCAGAGGGTACGTCGCTGCTTGGGTACATTCACCTTCACATCAGAAAAATACACAGTAAATAATAGCTTGATTCACTTGGCCTATTTACTCATGTGTACTGTTTATTGGTTTCACATGGGCAACTTTCAATTGAGAATAGCAGGCTGTTGACATGAATCAATTCACATTCTGCCCAATGTCATGTACTACCCCAAACCAAGCCACCCTCCATTTGATCTTTCCATGGTTTTGTTTTATAAAGCCAGACTTCATTCCTGATCCTAGATTATTCTCCCCTGACCTCCCACTTTCATCCTTAAATATGTGACAGCTCTTGGCTGAAACTAATTTCAGGAAACCTGCCACTACGATAACAGGGCCAGCATTAGCATATCATTTCCTTCAAGGAAGATGTGTTCTCACCTCCTTGTCTACACCATGGAACTAGGGAGTGTTATTCACTTGAACCAGACATTTCTTCGCTTGACTTCTACACTCATGCATGAGGAAGGTCCTATGAACGCAAGTCTAGGCAAGTGAAATGTTGTCTAACTCAAGTGGAAAACACTGTAAAACATACAATGTTAAAAAATATTTAAATTCATTAGCAGATTGCGCTACGAACAAGTCTATCTAAGTCTCTCATGTTACGTTACGCTTATACCAAAATAATCGAAGATATGCCCTTTGAATATACTGATGGGCAGAGAATGAGTGAATTTACATAAACCTTTCCCTTTTTGTACTTACAAGCCCTGGTCCTCGTATAATTCATGGCGAGGTCTAACTTTGGAATTAAATTATAAATTAATGTCCTGCGACGACCGAAAAGAATTTTCGGGTAAAACCCAGTGCAGTGGACCCAGAACTTGCGCCCACATAACTTGAGCAACGCAATATTCAAACTTAAGAGGTAGGTTTGCTGCGATTTCATGAAATTTGGGGGAAATTACGTCTACTGACCATGATGAAGAGAGTGGAGTATCACAGCAGCTGCGAAAAGTAGCCTAACCCACGCGTGCTGACGCTAAGAGGGCGGCCATGGAAAGAGGATGACGTCACGTAGGAGGTGCAGAATCAAAAGCCTCAAAATCCATATAAATGCAGATTTTGTAAAACTAAACAAAAGAATTAAGATATACTTACTATATATAGGCTATATGCTTCGAAAATTTTCTTTAAAAATGGCTGTAAAGTTTGTTTCTTGAGTTGGGGTAGAGTAATTCCACGTCACCCTTTGGCAGACTCGTGCTGCCCTCTGTGAAAAGTTTCCCAGTCGAAGTCTGGCTGCAGGTGAGAGTGGTGCTCGTGCCGCCGATATCCCAGTGTGATACTACTGGAACGTTTTCTATACATTCATCATGAGTACGAAGGATAAGGATGCCGAAGTGGCTGTGAACAAAGCCGAAGAGAAAGCGGGAGGCGATGCGTCCGACTTGAAGGGCAAGAAACGGGCGGCAGAGGTAAGGAAGATTAGGATTTTCCGGCTTGTGTGAAACATTTTTGTAGGAGACGCGCTAAACGAGTCGGCAAGGCGCGATCGCGCGTTCAGTAGTAATTTTTTACTTTTACAGGAGGTAAGGTGTAGTAAACATCGTGGTGCGTGAGTTACGTGAGGTGTGGTTTTTTCTGGGTCGTGGTAGCGTAGGGGACTTTCTAGGCGTGTTTTCTAGGATGAGCGGGCTTTGATAGACTGTAGGGCTAGTTGCTTTGTGGAAGAGGGAGAGCGGGCTGCATGAGGGGAGGGGAGGGGAGAGCCGGCCGGCCTCGCTCATTCCCGCCATGTCTCCCTTTCGAACGCTCCCTCCCTCTCCCTCTTTCTTTCCGCCTATCATAGGTCCGCGTAGCCTCTACGAGCGGCATGGCGTTCGTTGGGCGTACCGAATAGAAATGCGCTTGGGATGACACCTTTATAGTAAAATGTAGTTCCCATGGTAGGTGGTTATGAGAATTATGATGAACTTTCCGACCCTACCAAAATTAACGGAAATGTGGCATTCTACTTTATTCACATTTCTCGTTTTGCTCGCTTCAAGGAGGCGGAGTCGGAGCACAAGAAATTGAAAAAGTCCGAAGAGAACGGAGAGGACGGTGGGGAGGAGGAAGAAGAAGTGGAAGGGGAAGACGACGACGAGGGTGACGAGGACGAAGTACCTGAAGGAGAGGAAGACCTCGATGAAGAAGCGGAAGGTACTAACCCTTGGCTGTATTACTACTCTCTTGCAAATGCAAGGGTATCATGAACATGCTTGATAATTGTGATTGTATTTCCTATTGGATAGGAGATGACGAGGATGTGGACGGAGGGGAAGAAGAAGGCGAGGGAGAGGAAGATGAGGAAGCATAGGTGAATAAACAATCCCTGAGAGACGATCATTTTCCCATCCGGCCCTGTGATCTAGGAGCGGCTGGGAAAGTAAGTGTGTGGTGATGGAACACAAGATTGAACAAGGTCAAGGCAGAAAATAAAATTCAACCTGGCAAGATTGTGGAAGTGTTTGCAGCTCCTTTTTGGGTCGATATCTCACGGCAATGTGATTGATTGATGGACTGATTGATGGGATCTACGATCTGATCAGTCTTTCCCAACCAGCAACTCCTTTATCTCAGGAGAGAAGAAGAAACAAAAACATTCTCTGCTGTGTGACCTCTCTCATTTCCACCAGTATCGAATTCGCCAAGTTCTTCAATGTAATCTATTGTGTGTACAGGGAACACAATAAATAAAACAAAAAAACGAACCTCTTTTTTCTTCTCGATGTGGTAAATTAGATCTAGGGATGGGGATCCTTTTTTTTTTGCAACCCAGGTGTTCTTGGTATTCCTTAAAAGAAAGGTTTCTTCATGTATTCATCAATGATGAATGTCTCGTTCATCCTCTACCATCCCTTCATGCTATTTTTACAGTATTTGTTGGTCATTCATTTATTTATTGATTGTCTCAATTCCCGGAAAGTGATACAAATACTTCAAAATACTTCACACAAAAACGTCCTGTTCTATTTTTGGTTCTCTCCTTCCATGGTCTCTTGTCCTGGTTATTCTTTCCTCTGTGTTGTGGTCTTTTGTGATGTTCGACAACCATTGAAACTTGGCCGTAGTGCGATGAATTTTGACGAGGTTTTTGTACAAAAAAAGAAAGTTGTTTTCACCAACGACTGAATACGTGTGTCTTATTTCATGATGACATACATATGAAGAAAATGAAACACTTCCCGCCTATTGGTGGTAATCGATATTCAGTACGTTAGACGTCGCTGGGACGCGTGTCCATACGAAGTTGTTCAATCGAACGTAGTCCGGGATCGGTTGGCAGGAGTCCTCGGGTTTTGCTGCGCATAATGAACTGGATTCTGTGAACACCATGGAGTCATGCGGGGTACGTACATGACGTCACTGCGATGGCAAATTAGTGCGAGATTAGAGAAAGGAAAGACTCGCAGGATCCAGTCTAGCCAACGGAAAGAGAGCGAGAGTCGAGGGACATCGGCCGTTTCTCGCTCTGCCTCTGCCTGGGAGATACAGGCGACCTTGAACTTGCGTTCCCTTCTCTCCGGTCTCGCCGGCTGCCTCCTGCCTCCGATTTGCATCGATTCGAATTTTTTCTTCATTTCGGCTCCGAACAGGCCCCCGATTCAGGCGGGGGAAAAAAGCAATGTTCGCCACGTGAAGGAATAAATGGTACAAGAGAACCCTAAATCGTGTATATCATGACGCTATAACGCATGTGTGACACCGAAGAAGCAGGACTTCCAACACGTCAGTAAAGGAGGAGTAGCGGAAGATTCATGCTACTGAATATTAGAGACCTTTTTAAGAAATGTTAATCCCTTCTTAAAAATGCTTTCCGTTCCTGCTCTGTTAGGATGTATAACACGAGTGAAGCAAGGGAATATATGAGGATGGCTATCTGACTTCATAATACATAACAGTCGCAGCGAGGGGAGGGAGGACGGAGGAAACAAGGGATATGCGCTAGAAGCCATTGATCTCCGAACGTGGCGACATCTCCCTTCCGCTGAAAGTACTTTCAATGTCTTATATTCGTAGTAGATGTCAGCAGTGAATTGCTAGGCACTAAGAGACCCTTTGGCCAATGAATGTAGAAATGTACAGCCCCTGATAAGCCTTCTTGCCGAGCAAATGTAACTATTTAATCAGCGAATGGCCTCTATTTTTTGTTCTCCGATACTGTTATCCCCACAGCAGGAACTGGGAAGACCTCTAGCCAAATTAGCTACAGATCGGGATTAGGGTAAAGGCGCCAGTTCTTGGACGGGTTAATTTTTCTCTTAGAAATTGTACTACAGTCGTTGGAGTCATCGGAGAACCGTGTGTTTGGTTTCAGTATCATAGTTAGATGTCAATAATCTAAAATTAAGTATTGATTGCATACGTTATCAACAATAGGCATTTTAATGACTGTGTGGATTTGCTCGCTATTCTTTGTGGACGACACCATTTTTGGTGAGCAATCATGAACATGGATAGGTCCTATAGGATGATATAGCCAAAGCATCTGTGCAGCAATTTATTCATCTTCACTGAAATGAAAATGGGAAACAATTTACTAATTCTTCACGACTTTTTCTTTTTAGTTAGCAAGCAGTTACTTTCCCGACCGCCAAGGCGAAGCCCGGCTCATTACGGTTGAAAAACTGATGCGCTTTCTACGATGAAGTCCAGGAGACCCTGATCGTTCAATATTTTTTTGGTCATCCAACCAGATTAAACGGAACTTTCCTGTCACCAAAACCCTTTCCATTCCGATGATCATCGAAATCTCAGGCCTCCGCTTCGTGAATGATTTCAGACACTTTTTTTCCCGTAATTCATTAATGGAAGACGAATTTTCCATTCTATCAAAAACCACTTTACCAACAAAGCGAGTTTTAAACGCGTCTTTTCGTGCCTATAATGCGAATTTACAGTGCTAGCCTCATATTAAAAATATTCTTGATTTCGTGAACCGTCACTGACAAGGGCTAAGTCACCCGATAAAAGACTTCCTCACGATATAATTAACCAACTTTGACACTTCCTCTGCAGACAACACAGGCAAAGGACACGACCTTGACTCTCTTGGAGGCCTGGCACCACTGGTTTCGGCATGTAGGGTACTTTTAGGGGCCCCAAAACCTTTTGGCAGCACATTCGTAGACGGTTTCATTTAGCGGAACCGTCTACAAATAGGCAAATCCTTGAATCGAGATTCCAGTTAGTGGACACCCCCTCTTTCGTCATTTTAGAAGCAGATTTCATCCATACACGGATAGGAATATGAATTAGAAACTTCTAGCAACGTTTCCTAATATCATACAGGAGACCCACGTGAATTCTTGTGCAACAATCAACTTTGGAAACGGGTTAAGAGAAATCACTAGACATAAGAAAATCAGAGGGTGCTACATCTAAAACGAAGCAAAAACATCTAAGTTGACTTGCAAATATGCATGCGCAATTCATATGGTGGCCAACAGGCATGTACATAGCATGGAGCAAAATTATTAATTTATTGCGTATCATTTTTTGGATAACAGAAAACGTGAAATCGTCCACAAATAGGCACCTGTCTACGAACTGGCGCCTCTACTCTATATTGAGCACCGAATTTGTGCTAGCTAGTACAACAGGAGTGGAAAATTAGAGTTCATTCCGTTTTGGAGATGGCAAGAAACCGTTAGCGAACTGAAGGGGGGGGGGGGGGGGAGGGGGGGGGGGGACGCCAAATTTATCTGACGCCCCCAGAGGAAGAATCTGACGTGGGTCTATGAAACCCAGCATGCACTTAGTGCTCAGTATTTCTCGCAAATCTTGAAGTTGTCCCATTCCAATATTCGAGTTATTTCAGAATAATGGTTTCCCGGATCGTGTTCCAGGGAAGCCACTCGTCCTCTTGACTTTTTTGGCACGAACCACCATGGGTTGTCGTACCTACAAACGCAACGCATCCACTTACGACTCAATTTACAACATGGATCATGCGCATTGACGAAAGGGAGAGACAGAAGTCACCAAATTTTTAGATACCGTGTTTTCATGCAGTGAATGAGTTCAGTGCATTATTGCAATGTCCAGGACTTGAAGAAATGTTCCTGACATGCTTGTGTTGTCCCTTGGGTTACCATGGAGTACCTTTTCCCTTCAAGATTCACACTTTTCTGTTGGTTTGGCACGAGAAGGCCCCAACCCCACTCTCCCCTCTCCTCTCCCTCCCCTCTCCTCCCCCTCCCCACTCTCCCCCTCCCCTCTCCTCCCCCTCTCGCTGCTGAAAGATGAGAAGTGATCTCCGTGGCCCCACTCTGCACGATTTCGTTTTTCCTCCAAGTCGACGACCAACTGTTCTGTCAAATTCTGATCGAACCAAACATTTGAATTCTCAAGGTTCATTTCGTGTCCCAATCGCTCTCAAGGGAAAAAGGAGCTTTCGTAGTATTGACCTCAAAAATGAATTCAATAAAGCATTATTTGGGCGTTCGTTTAACTCAAAATTGCAATTTCTGTGCGAATGTTGGCAACCTGAGAGAAGTAATTGGTCCCTAAGTGTAAACTTATAAGTTTTTCAGTTTCGCGATTGATAATCTATAAACTATGAAAAAATAAGGGATTAGTTGTTAGGAAGACACTGTGGATTCTGGTAAATTCACACGCTCGTATGTAAATGTCCTTTCCACGACGACTGCGGGATAATTATGGAGCTATTATAACTTGCAGAGGAAATAAAAACAAAGGAAAACAGGTGAATATCAGTTTGTATAACATCCTCAGACCCAAGGAAAATAAAAACCATAGGATTTGGCACGTGTACGTGCCGCTCGAGCCTGAAGAGCATAACTGTTGTGTGTTAAAGCAAGTGCGAATATATAGGAAAAACATAGCAGTATATTCCTTGATGCTGCGTCGAGCCCCAGAACTGAATTGAGAGTGAAATTCCACTCCACTCGCCCCAGCCATGTGACCAAATGATGTGATGAAGTGAGAGCTGCCCCCTCCCCCCTCCTTTTGTATCCTACCCCACTAAGTGAGGTATTATCATATTTTACCACTTTCAACAACCTGAGTTCAACTTAGTTTCTCGCCTGTTAAATTTAAGCATAAACGGAATCGATATCTGAACTTGACTTGAACACATTGAAAAAAGCAGCCAAAGTCTGTTTCCCGTCTGTGCTAATCTAAATCTATCTTCAAGGCGGTGCATATGCAAAAGTCTGTTTCTCGCCCGAGCTGAAATTTAGACTCGAACTAAAACGTCCTCTAAAAGGGGAATAATGAGGGGACTGGTCTGACCCAGTCTAAACATTACATAACTATTTGAGAAGGGAAAGAACTGTCAGCAACGTTTGTTGAGACATATGACCTTGAACCGGATGATGCTGTGGCTGCACTCACCGGATGGACCCACCGGGCTCAAATCGCCCGGATCTCTTCAGCTCGTGCGAGTCCAAAATCAGTACACTCTAATAGCAGTGAATAGTAGCAATGAAACTGAGTTACGGTGGTGACTATAGTTAAAAATAAGTTTCTATTTACGAAGAAGAAGAGGAACATAGTAATTCATGACCCCAATCATCTCCAATTCTCCATTATTACCATGTCCAAAGGGTGGGAAATGTAACGTCACGATTCCTCGCCATCAATTTTTAAATCCTGCATTCTCAGCATGAACCTTGGAATCTCCAATCCTGTTAGCAGACACTTCTTTATGCGCCGATATTCTTCGAGTGAGACAAAGAGTAGAAGTCGTAGATTCTCCAGTACAAAAAGTAATGCGAAGCGTGCGGGATTTCTCGCCCCCCCCCCTCCCAAAGCAGGAAACGTCGAGGAGTATCGTCTGCTTGGGCGCGAGACTTTGAAAATCACAGCATCGCCGTAACGCAGTGGTCTCGGCCAGGCACGCTGGAGGTCCCGGGTCCGAATCTGACCGGCAGCAACCAGTTTTCTCGAGGACCGACCCATTCACTCGAGTACTGCATGCCCCCTTGGACTCAAGGGTCAGCCACTCTATGCTTCACGATCTGACAGGTAGGGACTTGGTGCACATCAATAGCACACGCCTCGCGACCTGGTCGCCTTAATCCGAAGTGGTGCTTCTAGAACCTGACGGCAATGTCATCACCTCCCCCCCTTGAAAACGTCATAGTATGTTAGAATGAGCGTAAAAAGTAGTTCATCCAAAGGTGTAACACACAGGGATGGCTCGAATGCATATGTATCAGTGTGGTGTCCTCAACTTCATCATGTACACTGGGCTAGGGCTATCTCTGGCTGAACCAAAGGATAATTGGTTAGTAAAAAAAAGTTTGGTGCTTCAATCATTTATTCGCCTGAAGAGATATATGGAATCCATTGATCAGTGGCATTCCCAGGATTTTCGGAAGGAAGTTCAACATTAATGCAGTTGAATGATGAGCACGGGGAGGGGGTGGTATGACGAGGCTGACGAGCGGAGGAGGGGGGTAAGCTGTCAATGGGGAAGGGGATAAGCTGACAAGGGGGAGGGGGGTAATTTGACTTGGGGGAGGGGTTGCCAGCCATGGGGGGCTTGGAGGCTCTGCGCTCCCCTCCCCCTCCCCTCCCCCCTTCCGATACTGCCATTGCGATGTATGATACTGCCATTGATCAGCAATTGATTTGAAGACCTCGACTCTTGGTCAAAGTTATTGAATAAGAAATTTTAACATTGATTTCATCGGTTTGAACTGCGGCTAGGAACCGTGACCCGCGGTTACTAGCCCTGTCGAAATTCACTTGGAGACACCATCCCATTTTTTGGCTTATATTTGCTAAATAATCCAAAGATTCCACGAATTCTGGAAGATGTAGTTCCTGGAATTTTTCAAATGAAATGTTTCCTAAACTGCAAAATTCCAGGGGGATCATCAAACTTGTCTCATGGCCAAATTCTACCTTTTTGAAATTTAGTATCTTCTCTGACAATTTATACGTGTTTCATGAAGGTGATGCGACGTCACCTAGGTCTCACGCAACTGCTTCTTGTTCCAGAAAGTCTGAAACATGACAGAATTCGAATTGCAACCACTAAACCACTCGGATTTCCCCCGTGTCTATTTAGCAGTTTAGGGAGCACTTCAGTGAAAGATTTGCAGGGAGGTAAGCTTCGGAATTTGTGGGACGATCAAAGAGCAAAGATTGTTTAGGAGTAAAATGTTACCTCTTAACGATTTTTGGGCTGGGCTATTCACCAGTGCCGGTCCCGTTCGGCAGATGTTATCGACGCAGTGGAATCCATATTTAACATTTCTTGCCTTTGACTTTGCCAAAGACTTGGAGTATTCAAATGCATTGAACTTCAGTGTATTCTAGCTCTCCCTTCTTGAGAGTCGACGAAGATACTCTTGTATTTTTTTTATTATCCATACTGTATTCTCGACTCGATCATGATGTCCATTCATTTTTTTTCAACATCATCGCATACTTACCTCAGCGCCATCACATGAAGAAAAAGTGAGGTCCAGGTAAGAATATATCTTTGGGTATGGCATTGCATCCCTTCGAATGTCTCATGTCTTCACAGGCGATTCTAATGCTTGCTTTGGGGGAGGGGGGGGGGGGAGATCCCACACGACTCGATTTCATATCGATGGGTTTTGGATTTATTGCTATTAGTCACTAATAATAATAAAGAATTTGTGAAATTTAAGTAGAAATCTCTCTCCAGACGACGAGACAAAATCGCACACCTCTGGATCACGAAGTAAATATTGAACCGCTACGTCTGTAGTCCTGTTTTGACCAAGTCTTGAATCCCTACCGCGTCGCCGTGGCTCAGCGGATAGGGACTCGGGCTAGCACGCGGGAAGTCCAGGTTTGAATCCGACTGAGCGACAGCTCACCCGGGTGAGCTGTCGGGTGCTTCCGGGTACCACCTGCTCTCCCTTTGGTTCTATGTACTCCATTGTGTGGGGGGTAGGAGTTTAGTGCGCCTCAATAGCAGCCCGGAGTGCAGCGATGGAAGGCTTCAGACCTGAGCGGCATCGAAGTTGTTATCACCTTCCTCGGGCCCCTGAAATAGGATACGTGGACTGATAGAAAGCGTGGGAACGTGTTGCAATGCCGTCAGGGATGTCCGGAATCTGAACCCCCTTTTCTCTTCACTGTGTTGGCCGCTTGTGGCATTTGTCCTTGTCTATGTGTGTCTGTTCGAGTCCACGTTTATATATATTTAAAAAAAAGCCTTGAATCCCTTATGATGCAATTCCACGCTTGGTCTATAAGATCGACATTTTCTTTGATAATGAATATCAGGAATTATAAGTGACCTCGGTTTGATTTATCTTTTATTCAAACAATATCCTCTGCTTTCATTCCACGTATCCATTCCTTTTCTTAACTTCCTCTTACTCTCAAGCTCTTTTTCATCTTCTCTGAAGCCTATGAAAGTAATTACAAATTCTATCGATCACATGAAAGGTTAATTGGAAAAAAGAAAACGTTTACACCTCGAACATAGCTTTCAAAGTGCAGTGTAGTGTATAAGTATGTTACAGGCAGAGTATGGAATCAAGCATAGAATGCCTAAGTATTGTATACATAACCTGAATTTTATACTATGCCTGTAACATACATGACGCTTAAGAGTCGAATCACGAAAGAGGCAGTTATTGATGGTCTTTGGTGATGGATGCATAGATGGCGATGAACAGCATGAAATTTGCGACGTGGAAATATTATGCAGAGATTACCTAAGGTGCATTGCCTTGCAGTATCCTCGCAAATGAATCGATTGACTTGGATTTGGCTGCCTAGAATTTAGAGGGGTTATCCATAAGTAAAGGGACAAACTGCTACAAACTACAGTCAACTCTCGATATACCGCCACTGTTTGTCTTCGCCGATTTTGGCGCTGTATCGAGGGTGGCGCTATATCGAAAAGCGCTGCTTCAAAACGGAAATTTCCGAAATAACTTAAATGTAAAATATAATTCTAAAAAAAAAACACTTTATGCTGCCAATGGAGAACAAAAACTACACAGCTTTGAAAAATGATTCGCAATGTTTTACTGACTTTCGGCAGCATGTGCCTCCTTGTAACGACACACTTTCACTTTTTCCCTCACTTATAACTGTCCTTTTCCCCATTACTGGATAATGAACACACTTGAAAAATCGTCTGGAGGAACTTTAAACTGAAAGAGGCGTTTCCATTCTCCAAAAGAAAAGGAGAGGCTGGATTAGGTCAGATTAAGAGACTCCTTACGCCCCCCTCTAATCCCTGGCGTCCGTGCCAAAGCTAAGTCATCCCTCACAATCTCGTTATCAAACGATCAAAGGGTAAGGCTGACAATGTCATTTTTTCCCACCATGGTAGTGCATGGTGTAATCATTGTAGCTGGTACGGTATGCTGCTTGGCGCTATATCGAGTGCGATTTACGTTAAATAAGGCACATTTGTGCAAGGCAAAGTGTTGGCGGATGGCGGCTTGCGAGTGAGACGCTGTAACGGGAGAGCGCCAATGATAAGCCTATGGGGAAGATACCTTCTCAGAAAAGAGTTGGCGCTAAGCGAGAGTGGCGGTATATCGGGTGGCTCTATATCGAGGGTTCACTGTATGCGGTAGACGCAGGAATACAAGGTTGTCCCCTACGTCAGTAATAGTATCTCTCGATATTATTTTACCCCCCCGTTTGACTGCAATTCAAGCATCCCCATTCCAATCTTCTTATTTGAGAAAGCGTCACTACTTGTATATACAGTATTTTAATTTATTAACGGTGGGATTTGTTTAGTTGCAGGAAAACAGTCTGATGAGGAAACAGGGGACTCATTACATCATTTTAATTGCCATCTTTCCAAGCTATATCTAACATTCGATGCATCGAGCAGACAGCAATAAGGCTGGGATATGCAAACTTTCGTAACCAGGGTGGCGGCGGAAGAATTGCAGAGGTAGAAACGTTCAAAGGAATCATGATTGAATTTAAGATGACCGTGAAGCGAAAGAGCAATAAGCACCTTCTCTTCGTTAAAGAGAGAAAGACAGGAAGACAAATTTCCATTTTCACTCACTCGAAATGACAAAAGCAATATAAGGTCACGTTTTCTTCCGACGCTGTGCCTAGGCGATCGCAAGAACGTTGGTTTTATCCTTTTGGTTAATTATGTGCATGTTTGAATGGATGCGCCAAAAATGATTGAAAACTATCAGGAGTTTGGTCATGGCATAGCCTATTTCTAGAACCGAGTAAACAAGAGTTTCAAAATAAAAAGCAAATAATTGGCAAATATATATATCTTTTTATTTTTCTTCAAATCGTATTTACTGTTGAAAATTTTATCAGAAACCAAAGAAGCATGGCATAGACGTAGCTCTAGGACCAAACATGGGCTTACAAAAGCTTCGCTTGAAAATGTTTCACGAGAAGGCCACAGTGAATGCTGAAGTGAGAATAAAAAGCTGTGAGCACAGAAGATGGAGTGGCAGCGAGTGCTTCCTCGTCTCCTCTCATACGAGACACAACCCACTCACTCCTTCACCCGGAAGAGTAAGGGCGGGAAAGTCTCATTTCACTCTGTGCCTCCTCGGCGTTCTTTTACATCAAAGTAGTCTGGATGGAAGGAATTAGACTTTGGTGATGGCCAAGGATGCATCTTCGATATCTTCTGTCGACGCCCTGTTCAGCGGTTTCGACTCCTGCTGATCCTGTATTACAGAGAACAGGAGTCGTTTAAATTCGTTAAATTGCTATAACCTCTTCTCATCAATTATACAGTACTCCGGGGAGAAACGATGAGGAAATGAGTTACGCACGTTTTGCAAGTAGGAGGGATCGTGTGTTTTGTCAGGCGGTAGTTCATTCCGGGAATAGTGTTCCACGATGGCAGCTGTGTAGCAGTCGCCCAGCATATTGTTCGTCGTCCGAAATCGGTCTCTAGTCGGAGAGAGAATCACATGGATGATAGGTAACGGCATCCCAGAAATATGTGCGTCTGGCAACATTTTTCAACCCACTGCGTGCGTAGCATTCATCGGTTACTCCTTCAGGTGTTTTCAACAAATTGTGGCGATGGGCGTGGTATGGTTTTGCAAGGATTGCTTTGGATTTAAAGAATATGAGGGCCACGTGACCTTGAATTTCATCGAGTTCTGCGACTCTATTTTTATTGTGTGGAATCGGTCCTCGGGACCCATTATGCTTTCGATCTTCAGACAACTACAATGATGATGTGGAATGAGGCAGCAATATTATAAGGTTTGGAGGGACTTACACGAACCAGTCGATAGTGAAGAGGAGAGAGACATTTTCCGAGGGGACATCGATGGCGCCGAGGACCATGAGCATGAGGACGAGGGCGGCCGAAGGAACGCTAGCCGCTGCCACGCTTACTGCCGTCGACGTCACTCTATGGTATACCCATTTTCATTTCACTAGTCAGTAGCCCGTGCAAAAGCACAGACAGAAGAATTTATAGGCAATCATGCGTACATGACCATAGGAGGGGGCGGTAGCCCCCCCAACCCCCCCCTCCCCTGGATCCGCCACTGGCTGGCCATGTGAGAAGCCAGGATGCGGCGAAAACACCCCTAATTTATTGCAGGACTGCCCCTGCGCTTCGTTAATTGTCATAGCATAGGACGGGGAACTGACGCCGAGCGAAGACGAAGGGTAGCCCCCAAAGATCAAGACGTTACCTTATATCGTCGCTTTGTAGGACAATGTGGTATGTGGGCTTTTATTTGCGGCCCCACGCTACTCACATCGCAACCCGCCTCGCACGTTTCCGAACGTTAGCGGCCTTTGGCCACGTTGCGTGTACCTGTTTCTATGGCCATGGGAGAGCACACGCGATCGCGTGTGTCATGTGTGTGCGCGCGCGCATGCCACCGACCACCACCACCACCACGGACCACAGTATATTTTATTATATCGATTCCTCACTTTATCGATAATCGTGGCGCTACAACGAACCACTAAAGTAGCACGGGAAAAATGGAAGAAAGAGCGAGAAAGGCCTCCCGAAGTCTGCTCTCATCTCGATTTATTTCCATGGGACTCGACTCTGCGACCTATCATGAATGGATGACTGAAGCTTCGAAGCAACAAACAATATACCATGCTAGCCAGGTCGTTAAATTCGACTATACAAACATAAAGAATGATAACAAGCACATTGACGTTGGTAGTATGATAAATGCACTTGTTGACATGCTAGAAAACGATGATGGTAATGCGCAGCGATATGTACGTTCGTGCTTATCACTGGCCGCGCAGTTGATTCTCTGTTGAAAATAACATGTCGTCGGGTGAGGATAATTTCGTTCGAAGTCCATATTTCAGTTTTTTAGCTATGGTACATTCATGCCATTTATCATCATCAACGAAATTACTTTATTGACACAGCAGGTCGCACATTAATTTAGGAATCTGTGGATTCTGCAAATTCTGGAAATGTGACTCAGCAAACTTATATTTTTGTTTCACTGCAGCAAACTCCGATGAAGCACGTGTCCCAAACTTTCATTTTCCGACGTAGGGCAAAATAATCTTCACCTGACGATGTCACAAATGGATCCGAAAGTGCTGTTAATGGAAACAACAGACCCGTTATACTGGTGAACGGGGAAGTGTTGACGCAATCTGGGAAGGGGAGGGGAACGGAGTCCCCAGGGCTCTGGTAAACGTTTTTTTGTTCACATTGATGACTTACAGCGTGTTAATAAGTCATTGAGCTACTTGCTTCTTTAAATAATGCGTTAACTAACAGGAAGAAACATCTTTAGATTTAATGACGTGCAATTCTTGTGATTTTTCCTGAGATTGGACATGCAAGTTGACTGACAGAATGCTCCAACCAACCGATTGACGAAAGCACTCAAAACTTGATAAAGCCACCCATCATGGTTATACTAGCACTGATGGTAGTCACGTGCGCGAAGGCATATGTGAGATTGCAGAGGATATTGCGGTACACCCCCTGTGGATAAAGTAAATAAGATTGGCCATAACGATAAGAATCTGAATGCGTTCGGAATCTGAAGGCTGTGCTGGGGAGGCAAACGGGAAGAGAAACATTTCAAGAGGAACTCAAGTCCTCCGAGCACACGTGGGCGACGGCAGCTAAATGAGCATTTTTACCTTCATCCGGCGTTTCATTTTCAATACGAGCTTGCGAGGTACTCTTCTGTTGTATGCAGCCCTGGTAAGATCCCGTGTATTTTGGTCCAATGTTGAAGGCATGCAAATATAATTTACAGCGCAGCGACAAAATTTCGTTCGTATTCTAATTTTATGTATTTCACGAGGCAAGAACTGCAAAAAAAAATAAACCGGAGCGAAATTCGTTCGCCACACTGCATTTAACGACGCCGTAATGGGATCAGAAGCGGGCTATTAAAGTGATAAAGGACTTTCGTATGAGAGGCGTCGAGAAGCTTTATGATTATACAGTGTATACTCTCATGATAAGGTTATCGGGAGGAATCTTTTTTTCAAACCCGATGGTTAAATGCAGGAGGGGAAACCAGTTCGGCTGCGTGAGCCCCAACTGAGACTCGGATTGCGGAGTCATTTCACTTGTAAGATAGTGGAACGCGTTAGGTTATGATACCTCGTCCGTGACTAGCTTTGACAAGCTTTAAGAAGAGTTTCGATGCCTCCTTGGGCAATGCATAAAAGGGAGCAATGTAGCCGTAAATTCTCGTAACAAGGCAATAGATGGATACGCTTCCACAAATATATATCAGTCTTAAAGGGTAATCTTATTTTATTTGAATGCTCGACCTTGACTTAGGATATCATAACTGGCAAGAATGCCTCTTGACGTCCCAACCCAAACCTTGAACCTTGAACTTATAAATTTTCTGCTGAATAGCCACAGTCCTTGTTAGTGCAATAAAAGCAAGTCGACTTTTGTGCTCTTATAATGCCATAAAATATATGTCCCAATTCATCTTCAACGAAAACGTTTTTCCTTACATGGTATAAGATTTACTTGTACTAACCACATTTCTTTGTTCATTTCTTTATTACGCAAATATCGAATAGGCTCTCCTCAGACTCTAGATTTAGTCAATTAAGTAAAGCATCCAGGTGTATTATTTGGGATTGCTCTTAAAATTGTGAGGAATGCATTTGAATTCTCGATACCCGAGACCGATGTATTTAAAAGGTGCTCCCGCCTCGAGAGGAAACGACTGAGCTTCTTGTCGAAGGAAGCCTAGCAAGGAGGAAGAAGGTGACGTACACGACGGTGACGTAATCGCCGATGCCAAGGGGAACATTTGTCATCTGTGCGATGAAGATGGAAGCGATGGAGACGAAGAGAGCAGTTCCATCCATATTCACCGTTGCTCCGATGGGAAGGACGAATCTCGTCACCCGGTGGTCGATTCTCATCTTGTCCATGCATTTCAATGTCACCGGCAACGCCACCGCCCTTCGCCATCATTTCAACCCTTTCAATCGCTGCTGATTCCGTCGAAACACGTCCATGAAACCAGTTTCCAAACAATTTACACTCATAGATTCTTTCTTAATCCTGCGATACTTGTTCTGAAGCACGGAAACCACTCGAACGCGGTAACTATGGCAACTAATACAGTCTCTAATGCTGCCTACTGTTACCATGACAGTCAATATTGGGTTGAGAGATTTATTGCAAGCTTATTATTATTATTATGGAAAATGAATACCTTTTTCCATAAAAGAAAAAGGGCAAATAAAAATTGTGACAGAAAGCATTAAGTCCTCCTGGACATCGAAATAGCAGTTAAAAACTTAGTTGTTTTAGTTAGCGTAGTAATTACCACTTGTGGAGAGGCTCTCTGGAAAAAAAGCATGTACCAATGAATATAGAAGGTCTTTGGCTTATCATCTTGAGTGTGGAGGAAACTGAAGTACCTATTTTTGCCGTTCAGAACTGAACCAAAGTAACTCACTACTAGGAGGATGAAGGGATGAAGAGAAAATTTCGACTTCTTTCATCGCTTCTTCTCTCCATGACCCCGGTTGCATACCCCATGAATTTCACACATACAGCTTGTCTCATAAATCACGCGACCCCGAAAAATGTCATATTATAAACATGAAGGTTCATAGAGTAAACAGCTGCAAATATCTGTGCTTTGAACTACAGTATTAAAAAAAAAATAGTGCGTTAAAACGTTTCTCATCCAGTTCATCCCTTGAAAAAAAAAGGCAAGGTTTAGGCAGTTTGGAGCATGTGTACAGGACTATAGTCTGTGCATACCCTGAAGTGAACTGTGAGTGGGGAAGGGGCCATCAACCGGCTCCTATTCCAATAGGACTGCATTTTTTCCTTACGCGCCAACAAATGCAACGTTCTTCCCTCATTGAGTGTGAATAGGAGCTCGTACCCTATACTCCTCATGCCCATACCTTTTCTCGAGTCTCTGACGAAGTTCCATCCAACCTGCGTTGATTTGCAAACCGTATTTCTTATCACGTCTTCTTGTTGAGTCCAGTGAGGAAGTTCAAGGGTTAGTTGAGGAACTAATTCCAGGAAGTGATGCTGAACTGTTTTTTCAGGAAAACCTTTTGTCTTTTTTTTCAACTTGGAAATCGATCAATGTGATTACTCGTACGTCCCAAATCCTTGTTTTCTTGATGTTAGAGAGTGATCCTTCGCGATTCTTACTCTCTTTTGCATCAAAGGGTATTAGTGGACGTCCAGTCTCGTTTTAATAAGAGTGAAAATGTTAACGAGGTCTCTCATTTTCTCAGGAAGGCATCTAAACCGATATCTCCAGGGACCAGGAGGGGAATGAATATCCCCCATCACGCCGGTCCAGTCTGGTGAGTCCAGTGGGGAGTGGAGTTCATACGTTGAGGCGGTGGCGAAGGCGATGAGCCAGGGCTGCGCCAGGCCAAAGTAGAACGGAAGGGGATTCTTGCGGACGAGGAGGAGATAAAAGAGTTGAAGGATGATCCATTGGTAGAGGAAGACCCCGATTAGGACGGCTGCTATGAACAGGCCCAATTGACTCACGATCATCGACACGTCCTTCATTTCCAAGATCTTTCCGCATATGATGCACGCCACCCCCACCGGCGTCAACCTAATAACAAATCATCTCTCGGTGTTAGTTTTTCCCTTTCATCTTCGGCCTTCTTATCTCTTTCTGGGACTTAACATCTGAGCTGATCGCGAAAAAAATGGAACACTGTAAGTCTTCCTTCAAATTTCCTATAACCAAATGAAAGAAACAAAGAGCGCACCACATGACGAATTTGACGATGTTGAGAATGACTGCATCGATGACGAGGAAGAAATTCGTTACCGGTTCTGCCTTGGCTCCCAATGTCCCCAAAATGGTCCCAAACATGAGGCAAAAAAATATAATCCCCAACGTATTGGTCCCATCCCTGTGGAGAATCCGTTCCTTTCCCTGCAGTCATCCCGTCATATGGGAAATAGAAAATTTAAAATAAAAAAGCCTCACCTGTATCCCACGGTTCGACTGAGGACTTCCTGGATCGTTCCGTTTGTGTCGGTCGTCGTCATAGTCACGAACTTAGTCTGAGTCTGGAAGGAGGAAGCAGACGGAATAAAGAAAATGGATGTCGACAATTTACGGAAGGTACTTAAGTAGGTTTATAAAAAGAGGAAAGATACTGTCAGGCATGTCGAGGACTCATCTCATCGACAAAGAGAAAGACTTTCGGATGCAAGAGTCTTTTCTCTTTGCACTGCAACTAAATTCTCGTGCCGCTACCTCCCCCTCCACTTTTTTTTTTAAAGAAAATCCTTAAAACAGAGGATATGAGCTAAGAGGAAGAGATACTGCGTGAAAAGACAAGGATGAGACTCGTTTGTTGATGAAACATGTTTGATGAGATGGGAAAAATTCCGTGCCTTTGAAAAAGCAAGGAGCTCTAGAAGAATTTCTTCTGGAACATCTCGCTATATTAGCTGGAATCCAACGATTTTCTTAGGAATCAACGACTCTTCGCCCCTCTCTCAGCCAAACTTGGCTTATATATATATATATATAATGAGAATAAAGAAATCATAAAATAATAAACTCTCCCTCCCCCCGTTGATCCCAGGATTGGAATGATTAGATATGAATGAAAACCTGGCATCAACCATGGAGAGGAGAATAACTTCACCTGCTGGAAGGCCGCTTGAAAAAGGTTGTCAGGAAAAATATTTCTGAAACAAGCACAGAGAACAAAACCACTCGCTTATCACCGAGTAAAAGGGGGAGACGAAGAGGGGGGGAAAGAGAGAGAGAAATAAAAATACATCACAAAAAAGGAGTCCTCAACAAAGAATAAAAAATACGATCAAAGAACCAGAGAACAATAAGCATATAATCCATTGCCATGACATCAAAATCACAATCAACTGAATGATTTTTTATACTGAAGCATAGAATTGTAGTTACCCTCATTTTTAAAGACATTCTCAAATGTATGTTCACTGAATAGCAATGTCCTGTTTGCTAGAATGGCGTGACTTGTCAAGGGCTCTTTCCAACATTGGGAACGTACTACAAGGTACAGTCAAATGAAAATGATTCAGGTGATGATCGCTTGCCTCATTGAGCCTGCTAAATCAATTTTATTTCATTGTATCTTGCAAGTAGACAAGTTAAACACGTACGGGAGTTACTTCTGTCTAATAATTCAGTGAAAGTGTGAACCACGATCCCGAAATTCAAATACGAGGTAGGTACGAATATGAATACATAACGTGTAATTGAAAAACTACGAACTTGCAGAATATAGAAGTCAATTGAGATTATTTTGATGGCTTTTTATGCCAAAAAGCAGGCATTTTGTCGTGCAGTGGAATCGAATGGCATTAAAAGTTCTGTTTAAAACGTTCACAACCGAACCATATTTGTCTCATTTTCCCACAGCCCAGTGAGGAGTGAGAACAAATAGAGATGTCGCACCTTCGTGGCACAGGTCCTTTTAAAGAATACTTGTCTGTCTAAAAAAAAAAAATAGTCACATGCGACATGCAGCAGATACGTGTGAACTTGTTATACCGTTGAATCATTCGCACTTGTCTCATCCGTCACTGTGTCTGTCCATATTCTTTTCTGTCGTTAGTCACTCCTGAAAATGTGAACACCCAAGTGCACACGCGAATAAGAGTTGATTTTTTAAAAATAATTTACACGATGGCTTTTCATGACAGTTACGTGAAGCGTATGGTAGGACTAAATATTCTTGGCAGAACCTTTCACGAAAATCGAGAGGACCAATATGGTTCTTTACGGCCTTGTCCATTTCATATTCCGTCCGTTAAAAAATAATTAAATTAGTGCCATGGTAAATGTTACCGGAGAAGAAGTTGAAACAAAGTAGTATCTCTCTATCTTCTTAAAAACACAACATGATTTTGTGGAGCGTGCTGTTTAAAACATCTGGAAAATTTTAACTAATTAGTCTTCTGGATGATTGGTCTGTTATCGCGGAATGGCCCCCTAATCCCTTCATTGCTTTATTCCTGTTCAATTTATGGCATGCACCGTCGCCCTCTCTTATTCTTTTTATAAGTTAATTGAGGTCAAGGAGGACCGAATGATGATGAGGGTGAGAGAAACGGGGAAAACGAACCTTCCGAGGTCGAGGAAGGAGTCCAGGATGGAGACGTCGTCCTTTCGGTCGGGCTTCATGCTCGCTAGTTCCTCCGACAGTCCCCATCCCGGTCGAATGGCGATCGCCAGAAGCGTCCCGATTATCGCGTTCAAGAAGCTGGTGGCGAGGAACCAGGCGATCGTCCTCATCGCGATCTTTCCGTTCATCTTCGCATTCAAGCTTGCCGATCCTGTCCGGAACATTCCATTTTTAGCGTTCCGGCCTTACGCGTTTCACACGATCGTTCTGGAAGACTGACCCGAGACGAGGGAAGAGATGACCAGGGGCAAGATCATGAGCCTCAGCAGGCGCATAAATATTTCACCCGGATATGAGATGACTAAAATTGTGGTCCTCGACGGCTCCAATGTTCGAAGCCCAAATCCTTAGTGTGATGTAAGAAACGTAAAAAAAATTCAGATTTTTCTGAAGGACAAAAAGGGGCATATTTCATGAAGATTTAGATAAGATCGATCTGAAGCCATTGGGGAAATGCGTCAGGGGCATTTCCAGATCCACGAAATTTCCATTCCGCTAGCGCGAACTTTTTTTTCAAAAATTGCCCGCAAAACGCGTTGCATCCAACTGTTTCAAGAGTCATTTTCTCAGCACTGGGAGAGCTAGTTCAGAGAAATTTGACAGGATAGCTTTAATGCATTGGAGGTTCTGGACATTCAATAAACCTGAAAAAAACCAGCAGTTTTTGGTTGCCGAAGAGAAATCAGGGAAACCATGGCACGTTTCAAGCCGTTAGCGTCAACGTCGCAAAGATGGAAAAATTTTAACAGCATTGAGTCGGGGTCTCTACTGCAGAGAAATAAATTCATGCAGAAATTAGCAAGACTTTCGGCGGCTGCATATTATTTGCGCTTGCATGGTATGATACTTCCCCCCCCCCCCCCCAGAATTAAAAATCAGATACTGACCCAAGNNNNTTCTTTTCCCCCCCCCCCCCCCCCCCCAGAATAAAAAATCAGATACTGACCCAAGATGACGCCCGTGAAAACCCCGACGACGGTGACGATCAAGAGGAGATTCTGTCTAAGCTTCTTGGTCACTTTCCTCCATTTCGGCAGGCGGCTCATAGTTTTCCCGTCCCTCCACTTCAAAGAATAAGAACCTGAAGCCGAAGGACAAGCGAACGAGGAAGCCGAGAGAGAGACTGGCTGGCACTGAGGAACTGTCACGTTTAACTCTAGTCTACCGTCCATGTCCTGATTACTAAACAACTCACGTGTCACCTCCTCCGGTGCATGGCTTTCCTTCCATCTAAAAAAAAAGCAACAACCTTTCTCATCCTTGAGATCTCATATCGCCCATCTCACAACAATACGACACTTTCCGGGGGAAGGTGGAGGATTAAATGGTATTTCTTTCAGGTGACCCGTGAAACCTCATCGGATTCTCTGCTCTGGTGCAGATCCTCCGTCACATTCTTTGCATGCCTTCGTTGCCTCTTTCGTTGATGTTAGACGGGGAGGAGTGCTCAGTATATACAAGTCATGACTAAAAAAGACCTTCCACATTTAACCTTGATATCTCTGCTGCTACGAAAGCCATTTTTACGAAATATGCAGTGGCAAGTTTCGTAAAAACGGCTTTCCTAACAGCATATCATTATATGTTTCCAACACTGAAATTACGAGACTTGTACTTGCTTATTACTCGACAGACAAAATAGACTCTGAGTGGCTATTGAAAATAAATCGGAAATAAAATTGAAAATGGATGGATGAGAGCGACTAGACTCTGCTTCTTCCTCCAACGAATACGAGAGGAAAATCTTCAAAAACTTGGAACAAGCACTCTGTCTTGATACCGATTAATTAATCAGTCATTGACTTGAAGAAAACTTATAAAAACACTTTTAAAATAAAAGTTCACCTCAAAAAAAAGGAAGAGGAGCTGAATATGCCGTGCAATGACAGCGCTTGGACGCTACCCTCATTCCACTGCCGTTGCGGATTCCTCTCCGTTTTCAACATCAATCTTCTTTTCAATCAATTTTTCAGTGTCTTGGGGAAAAAATTACGAGTCTCTTGAAATATATCGGCCTATGCATTGGGAAGAAAGCATTAGTGAGAGAGTGATGTCTTTGTCCGATGTTGGGGGGTCTTTTTTTTGCTGTACCCTGTCGGATTCCACGATCATCATGACTCAAGTTCCCCCATGCTATTACATCTGGCCGACAAGATGAAAACCTGGTCACGAGCCAACTGCAGCCGCTTTGGACGCACCACCCTGTGAGTGTACTGTACAGTTTTTGCCTTCTTATGCACCGGTTTGGTATTGAAAAAAAAAAAGCCAATGAGGCTGCCTGACGGAAGCAGCATGCAAAGGTACATCTAATGTGGCGGAAAGGCGAATCGAAATAACATCGACCTCGTCTTTTCTTTTACCTGAGAAAAAGGCGCTTGGTGATGACACGAACGACATAAAACCAGGCACGGGGAACATAGAGAAGAAATTTGGCAATCACCATAGGTAAAGGGCGAGAGAGTTTGGCGCATGACAATAACAGACCGTACCGAGATGGACCTCTCTCATTTCGAATTCCTTTGGCCATTTCTCTGCTTTCCAACTTGTGGACCTGATCACAGCTCTCGAATCAGCCGAATAATAATTTGAAAAAGTGGCCTGGCTTAGTCCATTTTTGCTTCAAGTCCAGATTAACAGAAAATAAATGTATTTTTATAATTAGAAGTTGGTATCAGAACCAGTGGCAGCTCGTGGGTAAAAAAATTGGGTAGGTAGCAGTGGTGCAAAAAAAAAGAAGGGGGGGTACGGTCACCCCCAAATGATTCCTTTGCACCCATATGATCCCCATTTCTATCCATATTGACCAATCGAGCGTCCTCTTATGATAGGAGCAGGCACATTCGCATCTCTCTCAACCTCGCTGAGCATCCCCTCCCCCACAGGGGCGGATACAGAAATTTTTCATAGGGGGGCGGTTCCCAAATTCCTAGCCCTCCCCGTCTGCCACCATTCCTCGTCCTTTCGCCTTTTTATTTTTCGTCTGGGGTAAGAACGTGAGTATCTATTTCACTGGCTCCAATAAATTTAATGCAGATGCTATTTTGAATAAATAAATCAAATGCAAGCCTGGCCATAGGGGGGCTGTCGCCCCCCCTGTATCCGCCACTGCTCCTCCACCCACCACTCTCCAGTCTCTTTTGAGGGTCACCCCCCCCCCCCTCACCCCTTGACTATAGGCTTGACATTAGTTTAGGATTTTTGCATTCAAAAATTGTAAATCAAATTCTAGCATAATCAGAACTAGATATCAAGGAAATTACTTGCATCTAAAAGGAAACGTGACGAAGATTTAAACCTTCAATGAATGCATTCATTGGAAGACACCCCAGGGATGCGAAGCACTATCAGTCTAACAAAACATATCACTTGGAAACAGTGCCTTTTCCAAAGAGAGCTATGGATGCGGGGTAGGAATAGGGAACCGAGACTGACAGAAGCCTGTTCGAAATGATTCCTTATTCAGTCTGCATAATCTTATACTCCCTCTGTCCAGAAATGATTGTCCTGTTTCACTTTTTCTTAAAAATTAAAGCTGGCTTGGGGCATTAATAAATTCTGCTTGTGTAACAAAATAGTCTTCGGTGTCCTCTATAGCTCATATAGATCAATGGAAAAAAAATATTTCCAGCTGTGTTAATCGAAGAATTAATTATCAAATATTAATTTGAGAACTCTGATTGTAAACTGGGTAGGCACTGCCTACCCTGCCTACCCTGACGAGCCGCCACTGATCATAACATTTACATCTTATAACATCGCAGAGTACTACCCACTTAAGACGATTATATTCCACTTTTGTGTGTTGAGATTTTTCGCCGGTGTTTTTTTCAGCTATATGCATTCGTTAATATATTCATGTTGCAATAGCACGATCTAAGAAGTGCCTTATACTCTTCTATCCATGCACATCATTTTATTTATGAAGTCTGAAGTTCCTTTCTTGAATGCCTAATGCCTCTGATACCAGAGAATGGCGCCTTAAAAGCACAGCCTCTAAAGTTTGAGCACATTTACAAGCTCGTTGAATACGGATGAACTGCGGAAAAAGGGCCTGAGACTAATTGAATACCGAAGGGTGTAGAAGCCGGTACTCTCCAGTCCTTCCTGTGGCACATGTGGGGCCCCGATAAGACTCCGACGTATAGTCATGCTGTTTTTTCTCTGTCCACTGGACTGTATGAGGAATTGTCGGCCTTTCGCAGAGTTTTTGCGATCGTGTTGTGCAGCACGTAGACCGTGAACGTCAACACCGCACGATTCACCCTTTCTCAATGTCTTCAACTGGAAAAACGCCATAACTAATATGCAAACGGTGTAAATATGTGCAATTCCGCGAGAATCTTGCAAGGTTTCTTCCTAGCTAGAGGGAAGGAAAGGAAAGAGAATAATTGGGAAGAGGACCAGATCCTCTTCTTTTTTTTCTCGACCAAGAAATTGCCCCAGCAGTGAAAGGCGAGACGCTCCCCCTCGGGAAATCGGCCACGACAAAACGAAAGGGAGTATGAGGGTCTACGAGCGTGACAGGAGATGCCGCATTCAAAAGTCGAATGGATGATTCGTTTGTCCTAGACGAGACGACTTCGTGACGACACAGATCGCACTTCGATCGGAGGCTTCTTACGAGAGGCCTTGGAAGAAAACTGGATGGGACGAGCCGACTGGATTGACTGACGGACTGACCGGACTGATTGGACTGCGATGGGGAATGACTTTCGCATGAGACTTTGATGCCAGGACACGGAGGAACGCGAGAACAGGCCAAGTCCATCTGGAAATCTTCCACGCTGGAGGTTCTACTCACACCCGAATAAGGGCCTTCGGGAGTGCCGAAATGAAAAATCACGACTAGATGTACCGGGTGGCGCAAAAAAGAGAGCGTTGTTTTAGGCTTTATGAATTCAACTGTAAAAATGTTCCACAAAAAATACTAAAAAATTTTCAGGAAAGTTTGTAGTGTCTAGGCAGTGTCCAGGTAGTTTTGATAAAAAGCAACAGTCAAACTTCAATGACAAATATGTCACGCGTCAGGCTGGAGCAATTCAGCAATTCTTGTTCCCTCATCGTGACTTCCCTCATCTGGCACGATCAAACTTTATTTTTCTGGACTTGACATTGTCTTAGGGTTGCAGCTAGGACAGGAGGGCTTCCATGCGACGAAGTGTATTTTGAGTAAAAATGGCCTAGGGAGAGAGGAGAGTAGTGGGAGTTCCCAAGGAAGCGATGGAATCCGTTCTGTGCGGTCTCTTCCCTCTCCAGCCCTTCTCATAAAAGCGCACATTCACCGCAGTGACGTTTCCTCGCTCAGTCGCGCGATCGTGACGCTGCAGTCAAGAAACACTGTATATGATAATGATGCAGCCGTAAAAATACTGGACTTCGGCGACGAATGAGACGCGTCTGCAGAGTACTGCTGACCCTGCTGCAGCTCCATAAGTGGAAAAGGTGCATTTTCTCACCGAAACTTGAACGACTATCGCTCTTTATTCAAACAACCGAGAGACTTTAAACTTTTAGAAATTATATTTTAGAATATTTTCTGAAAAAACCTAGCGTTTCTACAGTAAGTATTATATAAAACATCAAACGCGACACTTGCTTGCGTCATTCGACATTTCCAGTCAGGAGAGATGCATCGTTTCGACTTTACAAGTCAATACTTCAAAACTAGTTAGGATACACCCTCGTTCGTCTCCCCTTATCGATTCAGATCGCCTTCTCGGCAATAGGCAGGACTACGCCACTGGTTTCTTTGCTGCGGGTCATGATCTCATGGTTTGAAAGCAGAGACGGAACGTGACTTGAACCGTTCCCGATCGGTGATAGTTTTTGGAGCCACGGTCAGGATCGTCGCAGAAATATGGAATTCCCGGGCATAAGGCAGTTGCAACACCAGTAATCTCAGTTTACATAGTTAATTATTAAATAAAATGTTTCTCGTACTGATATTATATTTTGCATGAGCGCTCCATGAGAGAGAAAAAGAAATTCATGAGTGCCCCCCCCCCCCCATCCCATTCTTCATGTAACTGGATTTCTCTCCTTTTTCTCTCTCTCTCCCTTTCTCCCTCCCTCTAATCAAGATGGTGAACCTTTTCTAAGACAAAAGATTCGGTCCGCATATACCCTAAAAATCCTTCAACATTTTCGTGCCGTGATACGACGAAAGTGCAGAAATCCATACTCGATACTCGATACCCTCTCCCCACTACGGCCAGGATTGCCTCCCAGATGTTTTCTTCTTCCCTCTTCCACCCTTTTACTATTTTCAATCACTCGTGGCCTGAAAAAGTTTCCAACCCCTGCCATGGAGGAAGGAGAAAGAAGGCCTGGTCATAGCATTATCTTGCATACGACCAGCTCTCTCTAAGGCATGGAGATTGGATTGTAAGCAGGGCCCCTCCTTCCCAAAAAGTGCATCGCGGACATCCCCGAACACGAACTATAATTGGGCTCATCTGAATATTGATCTCGCAAGAGCTAGCTGATCCAGGTGGGATATGGCGCGGGAAATCCATGTCTCCAGGTCAAGTGAAGTCACATGCATCTGACTACAGAAATTTCGTCCGGCATCTGCTGCTAAGACTACTTCCCTTTTGCCAATAGACCTCAAATTGCAATAAGTGAATCTTAACGGAAATCCAACTAACTTTGACTACGGCGGAAGATTACTGTATTCAGCATATGAACATAAATATATGTAGATAGAAAGCGGTGCGAAAGTCATGAGTTGTTTTTCTTGCTAGAATTTGCTACGTTGGGAGCACCGGCCACATGTTTACGCCATGGGAATGCTTATTCTTTCATCTCAGGGTAACTGCAGCTGCCGGCATGAAGCGTGCCGTCATTTTTCCAGAATGCTCCTCATAGGTCCACCTGGTCCTATTTTTGAGCTCGGTTAAATGCCGAGAAACTCCAGTGCATCGCATCAAGTAAATATATTACTCCAGAAGACAAAGTTAGCGTGGTTCTTTCATAGCCCCTAGTGGGATTTCATGGCTCAAAATAAATAAATAGAATAAGATCAGACAAGGATAAGATGACATATCTTGTGTTATCAGCGGTAGCTTCGCAGAGATAACAAAAAAAAGAGCGATCATACTGAAGAGTGGTTAAGAGGAAAGGGGAGAGCGAGAGCATGGCACGGAGAGCAGAGCAAGGAGAGCCGGTAGCAAAGGTGGCAAGAGGAGCAGCAAGGAGGAAGGAGGCTTAGAAAAGAGAATGGCAGGTAGGAAAAGTGGCATGGGTAAGAGAGGGAAGATAAGATGAACGAAACCGAATTTCCGCAGTAAATGAAACCTCCCCGGGCGCGAGGGGAAGTGTGCAGTCAAATAAAAGACACCCAGTGAGTTACAGCCAGTACCCTGACAACAAACATGAACCCAGCATGCATCGTTTCACTCCCTGCGCATGTACCGTTTGGTGTAAAGACTTTTAGCAAATGGAAGCCAAATCATGGTCGTAGCGAGTCATCCAGTTAAGACGTTCATCCGGATGCCAAGACTGGAAGGATAGGAGAGAGGCTCGTCAAATCAAAATACGCCCTCGCTACACTACTACCTTTGATATGTGATGATGGATGAGCCAGTAATGAAAGTAAAATAACGCCTGTGGAATGTATTATTTACAGAGCCATCTAAGGCATGATAAACGCTTCAGTCTATAATTTAAGAATCATGAACTACTCTGATTCATCAAAAGGGTGTCGTTACCCTAATTGACAAATTCAACAGGACCTCCCAAGCTCTCTTCTCTTGTTTTCTCAGTCACGGATTGGCGTTTACAGCAGTAGGGCAAGACGGTCTGAATGGATTGGAAGGCGAGAAAGGACGTGGAGATCTGCCGGTCATAATGACCACTAACGTAGGAATGTGGAGGAGGGAGGGAGATCGAGTCAGGGACTATCGAGGGGGAAGAATGGAGAATTTCCCTTTTTTCCCGCGTCCGATAATCCGCATGCGCCCTAGAGTTCCTCAGATACGGGGGGTGAAGCGGAACCACCGACCTTCATCGGCCGTTGACTGGCTGGGGGGAGTCCTCAGCCAATCAGAAAGGAAAAGGGGGCTTCGCGTGGATCGATGACTCTCCTCCTCTTGTACATAAGGTTCACTCCGGCTATCTCCACACTTGGCTTCTTCCGTCGAAGCGGAGCAGAGGGGGAACTCAGGTTCGACTTCGCCTCCTAGCCTCTACCACGTGTCCTCTCCAGTTCTACTCACGCCCACTCCATCTCCCATGTTTTCCCATCCCAGAAAAACAAACACATTTTCTGATGGAAATATTCCAACGACTGTGCAGGTCACAGATCGGAAATACCAGCTGCCCGTGACATAGAAATTTTAGCAAGATAACCAAAAACCATATGCATGATTTGGCGGCAGCTGTTAGCCACGTCTTTTTCTTGGAACACCTGCTTCAGTTCCCTGGCATCTGGCGGAATTGGCTTCAACCAATGTTTCGCACTCTATGGTATAGATGTATTGACAGGACACGGGGCAACAAACTCCAGCGCCCACGACGCCTTTAAAATAGATTGGATGTCTTCGATGCGAGATGCAGACTTCAATGTTTAGCGTATTCCCAATCGCCACTCTGGAAGACACATGAGCGGTCTCCCAACATTGATAATGCCTCAAAGTAAGCAAAATCATTTCCGAACGCTTTTGCTCTAGAGTCCCTTCCCTTTAACCCTTTAACCTTGCCGCAGATCCTCCAGAGCTTACGTGGCGAAGCATTAAAGTCGAACCCGATATGAACCCAAGTGAAAATATACAAATTCCAGTATTGCCCTTATGAGACTGACTATGGGCTTCTGAGGTCATCCTTGACTATGACGATCAATTTTCTGGTTTCAAACTTGCACTTCAAACAAGAGTGGAGTTATTGTGCCTTTAGCAGGTATGCGAACATAATTCAATTCTTTATCTCAGATCTTAATGAATAAACAAGGACTAGTTGAACTTGAAATTAATACAAGACATGGTGCCTGTAGCAAATGGATTATATTGAGAAGAATTTCTTAGGCAAGACAAGAGAAAAGATTTCCCTTGACAAACTCCGGATTGAATGTAACAGACATTTGCAAAATCATGGATGCCAAGTAACAAGGTCATCCGTTAGACCCATGCATGTCAATTTCATCATTGCGTTTCCATAGCAACATCTGGAACTGGTTCAGTTGGTTCTTTCTTCTCCTCAGGAGGTGCTGCTGGTAAAGGAGGTGCGTCATCAGGTGGAGGTGGTGCACCTCCCCTTCGCTCTTCTCCCTCAATGGCCTTCAAGAAAGGCTCCACCTCTTCATCTTCATAGATAGTAAAGTTCATGTCCTTTCCAACAGCTGCTATGGAACAATTCTGTAATGGCAAACCACATACAAATGACTCTTACTCTCCTATTTGTAATTTCAAGAAAAATGTCAAATTCAAGGTGGAATATAAGCATACCTTGATAGTGAGCTCCACATCATTTGGGAGAGTATCTCGAAGAGCTCTCAACCCATGCTTGATGAGATCCTGAAGGCTGCAGTCTTTGAATGTATCAAGATGCTTCTCCAAGTATGTACGTGCTGATTGAGACCGGGCTCCAATTGCCATTGCCTTGCAGTCAAAATAGTTGGCAGATGGACATGTTTGATAAAGATGAGCCCCTTGTTCCTGCCAAGGCAGACCAGTCATTAATTCTACACCTGCTCTTAAAATGTCTTATAAAAAGCAGGAAAAGAAGCTAACTAATCAATAAAGCATACACCCAAAACAGGCAACTAGGCCTAAAAACTTAACTTTATAATATGTATACACTTAAAAAGCATCCTTCTTGAACAAAAAAACTGCAATTCTTATTCAGATTTAAAGAGCACAAGAGAAAATATAGATGCCATTATATAAAAATCCTTGGGTGGTCCCGAAAAATTCCCAACTTCCACAATTACAAACCAAATACCATACAAGGTATTATCAGAAAATAAATGGGATTTCACATCCAGCATGTGTAGGCAGCTACAAGAAAATCTGGATGAAGTTGGTGATTTAGAACTTGAAAAACAGCATTTTTCTACATGATGTCAAAGAAGTGTGCCAGCATGCAAAAGTTATTCGTTTCTCCACTAGAGTCCAGATCAGTCCAATATGCATGCACAGATGGTCAAACTTACTCACTTGACATTAAATATTTAAAAAACACCCTTACTAAAGCACTCAACAACCAATTTAATTTTGGATGTGATGTCCTATGATATTCCAGCTGATATCTTGTGTGGTATTCTAAGTCCAAAGAAATAAAATGGACCATGCTATGAGGAAAAGGTGCAGAAATGAATCCTCTTAAGTGGCCATGATCATTTTGCTTGGTGCTATAATATTCTCATAATTAATGAGATGGATTGTCATATTTAGCCAGCACTATATAAAGCATCTATAGATGCTTTTGATGATTTTTTTGGTTATGTTTATAAGTTGAATGCTAAATCAGCTGGAAGCATACTAGTTGCAATGAATAACCTGATTCCCAAGAATTTACACAAGCATCTGAATTAATACAAATAATTTTTATTGCTTGTTCCATCAACTTCACACCAAAGTGAATCTTTTAACACTTAATGAATATATGCTGTAAAGGTATGTATGCAAGTTTTCCTTAGAAATGATTACCTCATCAAGTATTTTTTCCCTACCCTGCATTTCTCAAGCTTGAGGAATGTTCACTTACATCATATCCGATGACGAGTAGTCCCACACCATATGGTCGTCTGTCATAACGCTGTGTGCACACCTGCATCTTGTTCCCCAAGTCGCTGATGAGACGGTTCACAGGAAGTGGTGCATCGTGTGAGTAGCGATTATTAAGGCACTCATTACGCATGTAGCGGCTGTCCGGAGATAAACAGAATAACTTTTAGACAAAAAAAGGAAATCTCAAGCAGATGCAGGTTTTTACTCAGGATTTACACTGTTTCTTGCTTGACTCCTAAATTTATAGCCAGCTTGCACATTGAAGCACAATATCAGGTCTACAAGCCTCTCAAAGATATGAGACACCCAATTCTTCCCTTGTCAGGCAAGTCATCAAATAAAGGAAAAATACCAATGATGAATGATACTAGTATAAGTTCATTGGACTTGTTGAATCCAGGCTCCATCCATTGGAATTGAACTTGGAATTCTTTCATCACAACAGTACTTCTCCATTCCATCCTTTATAACCACAACATAATTACTTTAACCCTTCTAGTAGGTATGATGGATATATCTGTCATGACTGATGTCACTGATACATTATAATGTCTTTTTTAAGTAGCAATATATCATGTTCTATACTATATATTTACATATTATGATAAAATAAAGGAGTTCATGTTTAGTTTTTTACATAAAACACTACAGCTATTGACACAATTCATTAATATTTACTCGTTGTGGATTCCACCTTCTCAGAAAACTGCAAGCTTGATGGATTAATAACTCCCATTAGTAGCACAATGGTTGGTTATCAGGAAAACCAGACTTCAACATGCAATAACACATGTTTCCACAGATAAAGTATGCAGTCAAGAAGCAGTGGGTAAGACAGAGTCCTTCCATCTCTTCATGAGAGCATTTTTGAGGCTCCTGCAGGAGCCTTCATTTATCCCTTTCAGACCCAAATTAGAAAATATAAATTATGTAAAAAAATAAATTTTCCCCATTCAACCATATACAATGAAAGATCATTGACCATAAAAATGCAAATTCCAATAAAGATCACAGAGACTCAGAAGTCAGACCAGGCTTTAAGGTTATGCATTCCTGTGAAGCTCTACAAAATGTGTGAAAAAATTTTCAGACATGATGATCTGAAAGGGGCCACCAGGCTCAAAAGGGTTATGGTGTGTATGGTGTAATATTGAATTAATAGTGATCAGGAGAGCTTACCAACCATTTATACTTCCCTATAATTGAAGCACAAAATAATTCTGACAATAGAAAGAGAAAAGAAAGGGTTATATTAATTATGAAGTTCCAAGGAGTGGTTATTTTCTTTTTTTTTTTTTGGAATGGGATATTACCCAGAATAACTATATTGTCATATCCTTCTCAAGAAACTGAAATTGAAGCATTAACAGGCTTCTCATGAACTAGGCCTAGCAACTAGCTTCAAACCAGTTATGGGGACACCAACCTCATGATACGTGCATCAGCAGTGAGGCCTGCAATTGATATACCAATGTGATCATCAATGGGAATGATCTTTTTCTGATGTGCTGCAAGATCAGATGCAGCTCTCTTGAGGGCCACAACAACTGCATGAGTCTTGCTCTTCACACCCACTGTTGCAGAGCCTTGTTTAACTGCCTCCATAGCATATTCAACCTGGATGGAGAATGGAATCTTATGAGATTTCAGACAATAAATAAAAGGCATGATTATAACCTCAACTAATGCATCTCATTATTGGTTGGCATTGAAACCTCTTTAGATTAATTTTTTTTGGCTTTGACTTTTGCAAACCTGTACTGTTTCACTTTTGTGTAGTGCATGTTTGTGCCAACACCACTCCATGACAGTAAGCCCTGACATGATATAACTGAGCTACTGACACTTATAAATTTGTAATTCATATTACAATAAGGCTTAATGAGAAATCAATGATGAAAATCAGCATAAGGTGCTACTGAGGTCTATTCAATCAAGCAATGGCAGAGTTCAGTCTGTTGACACACCATAAAGAATTGCTGGTGCCAGTATAGCATGTGCTCTCTGTAATCTACCTCCTGGGCAGGCGAGCAAACCCTCGCTTGCCAGGGAGGTATATCAAAAAGAGATGGCAAGATGAGTCAACTTTAGAATCTGTTACCATGCTTTTGGGAGCAAATAAGTGTTAATATCATATATATATCTAAATGGATATATTGGTAATATATTTTTCATTCTCATGGCATGTTTTTCTATGCCCTTCCGGTCTAGTCTTTGTCATTCCAGCGAGACCTGTCATTGCATTGTCACAGTTGGTGGACCCCCATTATTTTCTCCCAGGATCGGTGTTACAGGCCAAAGAGTGAGAAAGTCAACCTATTTTGGAGGATGATGGGTCAGATGGGTTAGAAAAGGGTTGTGGCCTTTGGCAGTAATTATTTTCTAACCCAACTGACCCATCATCCTCTAAAACAATTTGAATTTCCCACTCTTTCAGCCCAACAAAGAAGGAATGCAACTCCCTTGGTACGTGTTTATAGTTAGTTCTATGCATTGCACTTGAGTTAGGTGAAAACCCAAAAAAGCATATAGGGAAGGTAGAGCACATACTATACTGAGAATATCAAGGTAGAGCGCACACTATACCAGCACCAAATCACCCTTCTGATGGCTTGCACACCATTGCTGCAGAGTCAATCTGGGAATATGTATCTCACAGAAGTGGTTTGGAATGAAGCAGTAACTGATAGGAAGAGGTATCTCAGGAAAATTGAGCCTTCGATCTACCAATATGAGATATTCCTGCCTATTTGCATGTTTTCAGAATTCTCATTTTTCCAGGAAGGTATCACACAATGCATCTGCTTTCAAATATAGACCTCCAGCTTTTGTCACCTGAACAAAGGAGCACTTGGAGTTCAATGTTACTAGGATTTTTTTTCTATAAATTTACAGAGATAATGATAATCAATCTAAGCATATTTTGGAGGTATAAGACCAAAGCCAACTGATGTTGATTCAGAGCCAAATAATACTGATCCCATAGGAATTTCATCAGGGAACTCCATTTCCCATGTACATGTGGCTGTCCAGACCACAGACAATAAAGTAAAATATTCTCTGAAACACTAACCATGCTGTTGATTGAGAATCAGTGTTGATTGATCCTAAGCCATGATGGGGCTAATGTTGGATTGATTATCAAATAAGTCTCATTGTGAACATTTTACTCATTGAAATTGTCCTAAAATGTATTTCCAGTTATCTGCCCTGAGTTGGCTTCCAGGAAGTTGATCCTGATCTTTTGGCATGGCAGTGGAAATTCCTATTGCAAGAGAAGAGTCCCCACTTTTGAAACAGTTTGCCCTGCCAGGAGTCATGCACATCACATCTCTTCCTCCTACTTTTATTTCTAATATTTTGTAGCAGATCAGGGATCTCTACAAGCAGACAGTGGCAGATGCATTCTTCATTTATTTCAGAGAATGGAACTCGAAACCACATGGCCAGAAGCCAGGTGCAGCCAGGAGCACAACTTCTTCCTGTTAAATAACAGTGGACATGCAAGAGGCAGCTGCATTCCCACTGAGTCATCTAAGAAACTCTTGCCACTAAATTTTTATTAAGCAAACACTGAAACCTTGAATAGGCCTGCTGCCATTAAATGTGCTGAGGTCTAATGTCAACTAGGTCTAATGTCAAATATCTAGAGGCTTAGGCCTCTAGATGCAGCCTTTGCATGTGCAACATGATGGGTCTACACTGAATATTGGTTGCACATAGCTTGTGATATGTGCTCAATATGGCCTAGTCTTGGTATTTGTTTTCTTGCCTTTTTTCACTGGTAATCATGTGGAATGCTAAAGCAGTACCATTACATAGATTCAAACTAATGCCCCAAACCAGAAGTGATATAAATCTCTTCCTTACAATATAACACCTTTTGTGAAAACAGAATCTGATATTCATGGCTGGTTTTCTTATGGTATGGAGCACTGTTTATGGTGATTTTTTACCATTTTGGTGAGGCTCATGTTATCAACTGAAAAAGATCATTTTAAAGATTTTTCATTCTATGCTCAATGCAGAACTGATTCAAGTTAATGTCATCTTGATGACACTAACTTGAGAAAAAGACCTATTCCATAGGCATGCACAAAGATCAGTATCAGTCATCTTTCAAGAACAGATATCAGGAATCAGCATATCAGCACCCCTAGACATTACAGTTAATGGCTTGAAAATAATGGAAGTAAATATATTTTCTGAATGACTCTCATAAAAAGGTCTACATAAGTTAAAGAGAATAAAAGTGCACCATAAGTCATGTCAAAATAAGCCTTCAAGGTAAACCTACCTACTTTTTTTATTATTAAAAAGATCTACATTTGATTTGGTGATTTTTTTGATGAAGCAACTTACCTGGTGCAGCCTCCCCTGTGGGCTCCATACAGTGACATCATTGTCATACTGGTTTCTGAACTGAAAAATAAATGAAGAGGATAGATTATGCAAGTCTTCTCGGACGTGGAATTATTTAAATAAAATTACACCCCCCCCCCGAGTTACAGTACATAACACCCCTATTCCACTTGAAACTTAGTCAAAGTTAATGAAAAAGAAATACAAGAAAAGGCAAAGGTGTAGGCAAGATTGAACCCACAAAATTCTGCATTTGCTTTCAAGACATTTGGTTGCCCAGTTTAAAATCCCAACTGGAATATTCCAGCTGGACCAAATCTGTAAATTCTGACCATTTCCAGCTGGCAAAGAGATGGAAAATAGTAGGTACCAGTTGTTTCTTAGTTGGAATTTCATCAAGAGGACCCTACAGCTGGAATGTAGCTAAATTTACAGTTGAAAATTAGCTGTTCTTGTTGACGGACCTCTGAAAAAATAGTCAACAAAAAGATTCACATTTAGCTAGTGATATAGCAATTAGGAAGAAATCTGGAGATGACTACTTTCCGGTTGTTACCCAGTTGGAATGGGTTTGAATTTACAGCTGGAGTCCTGCTGGAAATTATAGCTGTTTCCAGTCGGGATTTTAAACTGGGTGGCAGCTGTCATTCTGAAAGGAGGAGGGGCAAGCAGCAGGAATATGAAACTAATAGCTATGCTACCCTAGATATGGCCATTATAAGGGTATGTGAGCTGTTCCCAAAACCATGTTACTGTTTCGCCACTTGGGACTTGGCTTTGTGATGATCTTGTGTCACAGCTTAGGCTCGTTGCACTAGGTATCTGGCTTCTCTTACTATTTCTTCTTTTTTTTTTATCGGTATCATGAATATTTTTGTCTGCTTTGTTTTTCCCATCCTAATGTTGGAGTTTTGTCCCTCCTCCCTCTTTAACACGTTGGCGACAATGCGTCCTGATGCCAGGATGCAATTTTTTTTCAATGAATTGTTCTCAACAGTTCTCTGGAACTGTTGAGAACGTTCCAGAAGATTATGATTTCGTAATTACTGATAAAAATTCAAAAAAATTCAACATTTTAAAAAAACTCGGCAAAAAAAATGTTTTCTGGGACCATGCGTCCTGATGGCAGGACGCATTTTTTGACAAAAAAATGCGCGTGGTCCCACGCGGCGGACAAGCAAAAATAGGCTGGTCGTCAACGTGTTAATGTCTGTTAAATAGCTGTCCTGTCAATTGAGCCCCAGTACATGTGCGGACAATAAACTCGCCTTATCCGTTCAATAAAGTCGGGAACTTGTTTGAGTTCAGCTGCAATAGTAACATTAATGTAAATAAGGAAAACTGAAGATAACCTCACCATTATGTGATGAAGAATAAAGTAAGTCTACAGCTCTTGAGATGACTCGCGACTTTTCACTGGTCAGACCACTGTGATTTATTTCCGGCTCGTAGTCGCCATGACACTACGCCACAGACCAATGAGGGCGGTTGTAAATACTCCTGCGCCACATTCCGTCACGAACACTGCGGATCATGATTGGTTGATAAGTAACCGCTATCATGGCCGCCCGGGGATTCACCACGTTCCTAGCACGTGCTTCTAAAAAAGGTTTATCAAATTGTCCATCTGCAAGGTCTACGAGAGTATCGCCCATCATATGGAGCTCCAGAGGTTACCGAGAACTAAATCGCCCTCCAACGGCAAACGAAATGCCTCGTCCAGCTGGAATAGCCTCTTTCATGAGGCTCCCAGTGCAGAAGGATGCTAAAGGTAACTAAGCCTCGGCTATGAGCACAACTATTTTCTCATACTCTGTACGAAAAGATGTGACACTTCTTGTGGCATGCCAAAGTTGCCTTGGAATGCCAGTGCATCCCCTGCATAGCCCATCATAATAGGGAAATATCCATTGGAACTACTCATAAGTTCCATGTCCTTTTGAAGTGGTTTGATCTAGAAAAAATACAATTTTCCATATTTTTTGCTACTATGAAAATGGCAAAAGGAAGAAAAATAATATTAGATTTGATTAGATTAGCTTATTAATTTTTTAAATTTTAAATTGCTATTAAGGATATTCAGAATTAACCAAATTTTAATTGGCCCCCTCTAATCCCCAATCTCCTTTCTTTCTTCTCTTAATATTTGACTATGTAGAAGCATAGTCTTGCACAACAACTGAAAATGAATGCTTTTTCTGCTTGCTCTTCAGCAAAATCCATTCTGTTTTTTGGAAAAGGAAACACAAAAACAAAGCCATCATCACTCTCAGATTATTCTAAAAAGAAGATTCATAAGAAAATGGAAAAGAAAGTTGTAATGAAGAAACCCCAAGGGAACACACAGAAGGAATAGGGGATTTGGGCAATGTGCATCGGTCACATGCAGTAGGAGCAACAGGAAAGAAGATGATGTAAGACTAGGGAGTGAGAGGCATTAGGATAAGTTGAGGTGTGTGAAAGCCCCAAGGAAGCAGCTGGGAGGGGGGGAGAGCTGAGAGCAGACAAAAGAAGATATGAATACATCAAAACATCTCCTACTTCCTGCTTTTCTGCTCTTCCATTTTGTGTTGTAATAAAACTTCAAATCACCTCATCTGCTGGGTATGTTGTAAACAAGCAGCAAAATGCTTTGAAGATAGACACAACCAAAATGCTCATTCACCTCTCTTCATGGTTGATAGAGCAAAGCACAAGAGTCCATCAATTGGCTTTTAACATCAATTTGACATCAATCATTTACCATCAATTGACTGCATTTATCAGCACTTGCATTATCTTCCATTTGCCACATTTAACAAGGAACTATGGGATCAATTAAAATTGGATTAATTGACTGATTAAGCAATTAAATGGCTCATAATTAATCAGTTAAAGTTTTTAAATGATTGACAGCCCTAAGAAAAATATTGGAAAATGTTGTCAATTTATTTTATATGACTTGCTTGGAAGTGACTGTTGGGCAGATGCTTACATATTACACTTTCACAGTAACCTTTGCTTGTTTGAAATGTGAATGTGGTATTTTAGCTGTTTGCTGAAAAAAATTCCTGTTAGAGGGTGAATGAATCACAAGAGAGGGGGGGATTTGAGAAAAGTCACAGTTGACTACTAAGAGGGGGGGTTGAAAAATGGCCATTTTGGAGACCACATGTCTCCAAAATCAATCCAATAATCCTATTTGTCTGCTATATATTCTATCTGAAAAAGGAATATTGTCCCTAACAGTCTCTTGATATTAATCCTTAGATTTGATTAGTCCATAACATTTTGGCTTGAAGGGGAACTCATTTTCTTACAATTTTGATGTTATCTCTGGGTCATGATGAATGAATGCCATTGTCAAAAGTGTCAATTGGATCATCTGTTAAGGAGATATAGAGAGAGAAAAAAATAAACTGAAGGCATCATGAAACTGATTGATTGGAGGAACAATGAGTGTTATATGTTCAAGTTTCCCAATATCTTCTTGCACACTCTTCTTTCTTCTTGATATCCAAACATAGTATGCACCTCTTTTTTCCTCAAATTGGCTACATCATGTCATCAGTTTCATATCCTTCACTCTTCATCTTATTAGATGGTTTAGTAAATTAACGGTTTTCAGCAATTGCTTTCATTCATCATAACTCATACCTAGAGATCAAGTTGTAAGAATTTTAACTTCTCCATTAACTGTCATTGAGGATCTGCTGCCTGGCAGTACCATCATAGGTGACAGCATTCCTATATTTCACAGGCCTGAATGCCTGCTTTGTTGGAGTGCCACTTGACATTGGGACATCAAATCGCCCTGGAACGAGATTTGGACCAAGACAGATCAGGACAGAGTCTGTCATGTGTCGTGCTTTCAATAAGGATACAGGAGCTGCACCTTATGAGTCTCTGAATGTGGGTGATATTGGAGATGTTCCAGTGAATATCTACAAGTGGGTTAGCCTTCATGCTTATCACAGACTCCTAGATAGGCTTTAGTTTATGGCAGGCTCAAGATCTCAAAAGGATTTCCAATGCAAAGCAAGACAAGGAATCACACCTAGGGCACAAATAAATCTGGCATTGTCATGAATTGCTGAATATTTCAGCAGTGAAGTGAATCCACCCATTACAAATTTTAGTGTTTTTTTTATTATCAACAGGGCTTCTGTGTGTGCTTCAAATCCTGACATACTGGTTTTTTGATAAGGTCACAACTTGGTGGATTCAGTCAGAGACTTAGCCAGGAATTATTTTCAGGGGGTGTCTTGTGCAGCTCTTTCAAGCTCACAATTAAGAGGCCAAGGAAGATGAGTGGTTGGGAGGAATGAGAAAAACTTCGAAAGCCCTTTTGCACACATTCTGGGAAGACCCCATTTTCCCATTCTCTTACAGATTCTCTTCTTAATCTTACTCTTTCTTCCTGCATCATTTTTGGTATTCCAAACATGAACATGTTTGGAATACCAAATGGAATGTTTGGAACATGAACATTGAACATGTGGAAAGATTGGTATTGCCCTTCAGATAGATGGGTGGGTGAAAAAATCCAATCGATGATGATTAAAATTCTTTTAAACCAAAATCAGCTATGAATTTCAGGTTTGGCAAATGTGGTGCCATAACCAAGCATCTATAAGCATTATTTAAGTACCCCTATCCTTCTGGCTGGAACCATTATTTAAGTCGATATTTTGGTAGGGTTTGCCATTCCAAAAACCAGCAGAAGCTACAGAAAACTGCACAAAGAAAGTTGGCCTTGGCCAACCCTGAAAAAAAATTCCTTAACTTTCACCAGCCAGGCAACATTTTTCCTTGCCCCACCCTCCTGACAGCGAAAAACACTGTTCTTGCACGAAAAGATCAATGCCAATGCGTGTCTAGGTTTTTACAATAGGTGATGCTGACTCGCACACACAGAATAGCAAACATTAGCACTTTCCTTACCATGGTCAGGTGAGGACAAGTCTACAGAGTGGAAATTCCGCCAATGGTTGGGAATGTGTTAACTCACACAAAGTTCTTGACATTTCTTTGATTTCTTTCACTCAATAGATCATTTGATTTTCACTAACCAGGCTGTTTTCTTTTCACTCACCAATCTGCCAAACATACTCACCATGGAGGAATGGGGATTTTACAAGTCTGGCAGAGGTATAGGTTAAACCAAGCATGGGAAACTGAGAGTTCCTTTGAAATATATATATTTTTCAATCATAAAGTCCCGATGAATGTGAAATAGCAAATGAAAGCCTGTACATACAGAAAAGGTTGTAGGAACACAAGTGGCTGGACTGGTATCCTCACATGCGAGCATCTTCCTTGGACTTGTCATTCTTATCCCCTCAAGCTGGTAATTTCACTAAGTTTCCCTACCGCTCTAAAGCATGAGGCTGTTAGTACGTAGTTGGACTACCAGCTTGAGGAGTCAATCCCCTCCTACCTCTGGGAATGCATGGAGCTGTGGAGGCAAAAAATGTTTAAAGTTTAATCTTCAGTTGTATATGTTGAACTTTTCACAAACTCCCTCCTGTACTCCTTGTTTCATGAAATTTAGTTTAATTTCAAGGGGTGTTCAGACACCTAGGACACCCCCCTGGTTACATCCTTGGATTCAGTTCAACACTCACTTATCTCTAATCTTTACCTTTTTAAAAATTGAATTTGGGGCCTATGCCTGAGTTTTCAGATATAGTGCTCACTAATCATCAGTCCTGCAGTACTTGCAGAATGCTGGCAGCAGGAGGTGGCTCTCCTAGCATGCAGTGGCTATGCCTCTTGCAGATGCTGCAGACATCCCTGAACAAGCACATATCACATGAAATTAGGATGATAAAAAGGAATAAGATTTAATATAGACAGCACCTAAGAGTTTCATAATGCTTTAAGGACAAATTATGTTATGAGTATTCCTATTGCAAGGATGACTGGTTTTGAAGGATTACACTGTAAGGAGGCAGTAACTCTGGTACAACACTTGAGTGATGTAGATTTGAGGAGTTGAGTAATAAGTAGGAATGGAGTGCCAATGACTGGAAATGGTTGCTGTTTGAACTATATGCTGGAATTGAACAGGGCATTAGTCTATGATTAAATACTAACAGGAAAGATGTATATGTTTTACATTCACATTTTGAAAGTTTGAGATTAGGTTATGTTTTTGCTTGATACCACCTATCCTTGGTAATAGTAGTGTGTGTCTTATTGATTTTAATTGAAAAGTTGTCAAGAAGCTTCTTCCTATGCATACAATTTGAACCAGGTGTGTGTGTAATGGTTATCATGTGACCTCTTCCTTTCTCCCTTTAGCTTGGAGAAGGCTGTTGAAGATATCAAAAAATTCTATTCAGCCAAAATCTTGGCAATGAACTGCATCCCAATCACATTGGGTGGTGAACATACAATTTCTTACCCCATTCTACTAGCCATGAAGGTACAGCATTTCAAAAAATCAACTTTTTATCCTTCCAGGAGTAGGGTATATTGGTAGGTTTAAGTGATGAATGTAGATTTTCTGTAGATAAAATGAGGTGGACTGGATAAAATGGACAATCAAAACCTTGGGCCATGGGTCCTCATCTTTATGATCACCATTGGAGCTGGCTGAAATTGTTTTTATATGTATCTTCCTACCAGGCAAAACATGGACCAGTGGCAATGATTCATGTGGATGCCCACATGGATGTGTCCCCTGCTATGATGGGAAATAAGATTGCTCATGGGACTCCATTTAGGAGAGCTGTTGAAGCTGGATGTCTTCAGGGTAATCTTGTATGGCAGATTGGGATAAGAGGCCAAGACTATGATTATTCAGACCTCAAGTATGCTAAAGAACAGGTGCAGCTGGAGATTCTATATCCTATTTCCTACAACAGTGAATGTATAGCAATAAAAAGCATATTTAAACTCTTTATGTTTATAGGGCTTCCATGTAATTGAAGCCAAGGACTGCTGGTATAAGTCCCTTGTTCCCTTGATGGACAATATCAAGAAAGAGCTCAAGGATACTCCTGTCTATCTTTCTTTTGATATTGATGGCATCGATCCTGCCTTTGCTCCAGGAACAGGTGAAGACTCAATTTGAAATGACTTTCATCGTGAAAACAAGTCACACACAAAGTGCAGAATAGAGTTCTCCTCCAGGTACTCAGGAGATTGGAGGTTTAACTACATTCCAGGCTCTTGAGATCGTTAGAGGATGCAGAGGACTCAATCTTGTGGGAGCAGACTTGGTGGAGGTAAGGAATCCTCTTTCTTCACATTTGATATTAAACATCAAGTTCAAGTTTGCATTCTCTATCCATTTTTCAGATCATTAATTTACTGTATTTATATATATTTGAACTCAATTTCTATGCTTTGAATAGGGTGATGCAAAAATACCAATTTGTTTACAAGTGCCCTCCCCATGTTGAAAAGTTATAAGGTGGTTAATGTAACAGCAGATATAACATACAGCAGGGGTGTCAAACTGACGGCCCGCAGGCTGGATCCACCCCGCCAGTCCATCTTGTCCGGCCCTTGAAGTCTTCCTCAATAGTTGGTTACAAAAAATACTGCAAATTTCAGCCTGTTTGCATTAAAGATTAGGTGATAGATTTTTATTGTGGCCCCTAATCACCCCTGAAGGCTTCCATCCAGCCCCCAGCCTAATTGAGTTTGACACCCCTGGCATACAGTAACATTGTTGCAAGAATTTCATGGAACTGAAAAAGAATATTATGATTTACCCTTTCACCACGACTTTTAAAAAAAGTTCAAATTGAAAAAAATATTTATTGCATCTTAGGAAGTTCCAAGAGAAGAAAGTGCAGAAATAAAAATTTGAGCAGCAAAGCAGAGCCAGGACACAAATAAGGCAACAAATGTCAGGTGCCTATGCTCAAGGATGACCTGACACTTCATCACCTTTGAACTAGTTCTTGGGAGATTTTTCCAGATGGTGAAGTGAGACTTCCAGGAAAAAGGGTCACTTTTGTTTTCCATTTCAATTGTTCCTTTTAAGCCTTCTGACTTGTCACCTTCCACTGGGAGTGATTCACAATGAACACTCCTCAACAGGAGGTGGCTATTTGTCCATGTTCTCATCCATCGGAATGGGGTGGTGTCTCACCTGTAATGTAAGAGTAAAGGATTATAGCCACTGGTTCATTAATCAGGTAAACTCATGTATGAGCCACTCTGTATTTTTATTATATGCTATTTTATGTTTATATCTTAGGAAGAGACAGTATCAAGCTCAACCCCAGCCCAGTTTAAGCACCAGATTTTAATCAGGGGCAGAGACCATTAATGAGGACCATTCTAAATAGCCTAAAGATTGTTTGTTGACTTGTTGAGCCTTTTTCACATGTGCATTCATGATTAGATATTAGATTAGGTATTTAAAATTTTAGTTATCCACATATCTATACTTTACTTTCAATACTCATGACCAAAGATCTCCAATGAGTCCAACTGATATTCATGTGAAATGTGAATAGCTGTATCTTGTGTGGAAATTTACATTTCTTGCCGTTTTCTAGGTTCTTGGTTGACAAAACACAAAGGGAAACTGCATAGATGTCATCTCAAAGCAGAGTAAATTTGAATCTCTTTGCTGATGAACTTTGGAAGCATTATATTCATGATGTTTAATGTACTTTGAACTCTGAATCAATGGGAACTAAAACATTTAGGTCTCATGAACTAATGCCCAGTAGGATAGAAATCCAGCCACAAAATTCACTGCTTGAATGGTTATTGTAGCAATGAGTGAAGATAGTGATAGATAGTGAAGTAGCACTAGCATGTGGTCTTAGCTGATCAATTCCTCAGTGTTGCATCATTCTTCAAAGAGCAGTGCAGTAGCAGTGCTCATGCATTTGTGACCATGATAGATATATTGGCCATGCAGTGAAGAGCTTGAAGTGAAGACATTTGGACAAGTAAATAATTTCATGCATTGCTGAACATGGACTTCACATCTCCCAGGCAAATTCATGTAACATTGCAGAACATTCTGCAGGTATTTCTCCAACACATGGCTGAGTACATTAATTGGTTCTGACTTTCAGGGTCAGAGGAAGAGATTTGTCATGCACCTCATTCTGGAGGGTCTGCAATGGTCATGTGCAAAAGGTTCATGGCATTTTACAATGGGACAGACTTGCAAGTGACCTTCAACAAAAATGTAGATCCCCAAAATGCCAGTACTTCTTATCCACATAGAACTGCTTGAAAATAATAAGTAGTGCAAGGTATATGGCATATTGTTTGACTGATGGGCCTAAATGACAGTTGCTACTACATACCAGCAATATTTTCAAAGGCCATGAAGCATGAATATATTCTTCTGATCCATAGTTAAGCCTTTGACTGCTATGAATGAGTTAACTCAGTCATGGAAGTTTCTCCCTCCTTTTGGGTGATGTACTAGAGAATTTTCAGGACAACAAGTATGAGTCCAAGAATAGGTACAGTCATTCACTAATAAGGTAAGCAAGGTACCTTATCTTTTTTAGCAAGCATCACAAAACATAGGGCACCAAATTAATTCTGTAGATAGATATGTGGGAAAAAAAAGGATTGGTCTAAGGGTTAACTCCTTCAGTCTTTCTTTAAATGGCACTCTGCATGACTTGGCAGCCATATTTAAAATGGCAGGAACTGCCTATTTCTTGCTGTCAACTGTAGTCATTTTAAAACTAAACTACACAAGCTAGAGACATGAAACTTTCACAGTCAAGACACTATATGCTCTACTAAAAGGAAATTCAGTTATAAAAACAAATGTCAAACTGGTAACCATTATAATATATCATTTGACAGTAGTAAAATACACTGTTTTACCACTATTTTCTTCTTCACTGGAGTACTCACTTTCATCCACACTTTCATCATTACTATCACATAAGTATTCCTCTACTTGGGTTTCCACCAAATGCTTTCTTTTCCTACATGCCATTTTTCTGGGGTTCTTGGAACATATGCCTGTTTTTGTTCATATTTTACAATAAAAGCAGTCTTGTATCAATACATAAAAACAAGCAGGTGGTCACTGAATGTCCAAAGAATGCATTTGTAATTCACAAAGACTTCTAAATAAGTATTAGTATCATGGTAATGCCATCTACTTGAGAAGCAACCAAACAAAAACCAAACTATGGATAAAAGCAAGCAATAGTTCACTGAATGTCCACAGAATGTAACTCTGATGCCAGTCAAAACTGGGTCAGTTGAATCTGTAGAGCCAAGATTTGGAAATGACGAACGAATCTGACTCGTGATGTAGCTGTTTGATACTTGGCTATGGCTACAAGTCAGGCTCGTTATTAGGATGCAAGGGGTTAAAATGCAACAGTGCAGAGCAGCTGGTCTCACCTTCTCCATGACCATTGAAGTTTGAGAGAACTTGAGGTGCCTTTTGTTAACCTTCATCATCAGAGCATCATCTGGATCATCCCGTCCCAAAGGAAACCACAGTCAATCGTCAATAATTACATTACATTCAGCAAATTTGTTTGCTCTTTGCTGTTAATAAGGATTGACCAGAGCTCCTGGTCATTGCTGTTTAAAGGCTGCTCCATATTGCAAGTGTGATGTGATGGACATGCTTTGTGAGTGGATCTGGGTAGTCCTCACAGGTTCACCACCATGTTGCCAAATTTGCTATTGTGTGATGTATCATTCTTCAGGATGAAGGAAACACTCTAGGATCACAAATTTGTGTCAAAGTGATCAATGTTGCCATGAAGAGTTTCCCCTGAGCTCTCACCAAGGATAGCATTGTGAATGAACACAATCCCTACCAGATAGGTGGCTGCATCACTCATGGTAGTGAATGTGTTGAATAAGGCAAATATGAGCAGTATTCCTGTGATGTGATTTTTTTTTAAATTTATCCTGTTAATTGTACATTGAGAAATATGTAATACCAGTTGGATGACTCTTGAAGTTCATCCTATGGAAGTAGTGCACAGACTAAAAATGGGGGCCACCACAGATGGGTGTGAGATCAATTTTGGCAGCCACAAACTTGTGACAAGGCTGATGGAGGGGGGAGGCAGGCTGTTAGCTAGTATACAAGGTGGGCCATACATATTCACATCAAATCAAAGTCTTGTATTTCCTGTACTAATAACTTCTCATGAAATCAATTGAATCTCAACATGACACAAGGGCTCACAGTAACTATTCACAAAATACATTCGACGTTTCCCTGTTCTTTATGGCAGCCTGGAATCTTTGAGTCTGCTTGTTGATCACACTGGACAGACATGGTTTCACTCCTCTCTTGGCACAAACCTTAACCCTTTGACTGCTGTTCATGCCATATGGTGTGTTCGGCAGGGAAGCGAGCTTGGCTGGACATTTCAATCCCTGGCAGTCTTGATGTGTTCAGGGCAGTGGACCTCCATTGCCTTTCTGAAAAGTGCTTGGCAAGGAGAGGTTGGCTGGGCATTTAAATCCTCAGCAGTCAGTGTTAGCTGGTTCAGGTCACTGGATTTTGTTTATGGGCACTTGCTTTCAGCAGACTTTACATACAGTTATCCAGTCAAAATTGTATGGGGGTCATTCATATTCTTTGAGCATTTCTGGCTCATGGTCAGCCAGACAATTTTTTTTAACCTTAAGCCATTTTTAGGCAGAAAAGGCTTCATGTCAAAATAGCATAGGTTGACCACCAAAGAGACACTCACATTGAGGTAAAAAAAAAACATTTTTTTCTTTGCTGTTTTTAAGGTTACAAAAATAGAAGTTACAAGTGGTATGAATATTTATGGCCCACCTGGTATTTATTTATTCATTTAATATATTCATTCTTTATCAGGCAAACCTCTTAATTTTCTGCATATGACATCTCTGATGAGTGGAGTGTTTAGGCCTACACAATTGCATAAAAAAGAAATATTGCAAATGTAACCAGAACTCAACATTCATAATGTTGCAGGGTTTTGACAACTTCTAACAGGTGTCCTTTCTGTGGCATATATTGGCTTTCCTGAATAAGTTTCAATTGATAGAAACTCATTACTTAATGTATTTCCTTTTTCAAATTTTATGTATATTTTATCCTAATTAGTATTGATATCTGATTGATTATTCATAATCTGTCCTGTTGCAGGTCTCTCCTTTGTATGACCTACATGGGAGCACAGCTTATTTGGGTGCTTCCCTTGCATTTGAAATGCTCTGTGTCCTGCCAGGAGTCAAGTACATACCTCGAGATTTCTGAATCTTCCTCAGTGCCTTCATTATCATTAGACTGCTTGAAACAACCTTCTGGCATTGTTATTCCAATGCCTTGCCTTCATTAAGCAATTACATACATGGATCTTTGTCCCTTGTGACATAAGTCCATGTGAAATTTGTGCTCTGATCTGCCTTGTCCATGATTATTGCATCCTTGTAATCCCCTTGCTTTGAAGAATGTTATGAAAATGGGCATTCCTAGTGTGCTGTATATTTTGAAGTCATAAATAGATGATAATGCTGTGATACATGTCTGTCTTTGTTTCCCATGCATATTGGGCATCTAGAGTAGGTTTAAAATTAAAAAGTCCAATTGTGATAACATTCAGAAGTCTCAAAAGAAACAGTAGTTTGACAGGTTAAAGAAACAAACAAATCAGGTAAGCCATGTAAATGAAAAGGTAAATATGAAAGGTATATATGTAAATATGAAAGCAGGTGAGAGCATTACATTTTTCTGCAAAAGTTTAGCATGGGAACTGAAATATATGCACTCCATCAATAGCTTGAGATTAAAAGAAACCAAAAAACAAATTCACATCTGACAATCAGGCTCAAATGCTACAAAAATGGGATTGCTGTCATGTGTTACACAGAAAGGATGTTTTAAGATCTAAAAAATTATTTGGCTCTGTGATGAAGGCCAACAAATAATCTTGAAGTTTGTATTGAATGTTCTGGTAAATTCAAGAGAAAAGAGTGTGTTAATTAAAACTACAGGGTGTCTAAAAAAAAAGTTAATGCTGCAATATTTAATTTTGTTTTTATTATATTACATTTCAATAAAATTGTTTATAGCAGCTAAAATTAGAAGAGATTACACTTTACATTGCTGGAGATTGCAGGAAGATCCATGAACTTAGAAGCAATATCTGGAAAAAGTTTATGTCTTGCATATGTTTTTCCCAAATGCAGAGCAAATGTGGCTTCAACAGGGCAGCACAACTCATCACAAATCACACATTGTGCTGGCATTTCTTCATGATATTCTTGGGGAAAAGTTAAGATTTCCCATGGCCTAGTTGTTGTCTTGATCTTCCTCCAGATTTATGGCTGTGGGGCTACTTGAAGAATCAGATCTACCAGCCAGGCAAACCTCAGTCTCTCCAGGAGCTTAAACAGAGAATCTGCACAGAGGTATCAAAATTCAGAGCAGAAACAGCTGTCAGCATGTGAAAATCTTCAAGTGTCTGAAGGTGTGAAGGAGGAAGACACCTTCAACATGTCCTTTAGTGTTGGTAAATATATTTGAGTCATTTTTAGTGTTTCATATCTCACTTCAGAACTGATGGATTTTCGTGTAGTTTCAGCAAAAGAAAATGTAATATTTTTTTATAACTGACTCAAAAATTTTTTTAAAGTTCCATATAACATGAGACAAAACCAATATTGCAGCATTAACTTTTTCTTTGGACACCCTGTAGTTACAAAATGTTGACCCAAGACCCAGTGATAATCAGTGAGATGGAGGAGCAACAAGAGAGATAGCACAAATAACTGCATAATTGTGATTAGACTGAAAACCCAAAGACAGAAGGAACTACAGGAAGGAAATTAAAATGACTGACATGCCAAAGGGACTGCATTATCAGGATACTAGAATATCTAGAGAAAAGGCCTGTAAAAAAATATATATATATGTATATATATATTCAAGGAGGGTTCAAATTTGACCGGAACTTTTGTTAATAAAAGGCTGAGTAGACATGCAGATTAATAGTTTTTTGAAGAATTTGTCTTCATAGTGTTCTTAACCCATACCCATGATTGCATGTTTCCTACTTTAATACACATGTTTCCTGCTTTAATACACATGCTGAAAATCAAGATGGCAGCAGTTGAGGTAACAAAAAAGGTGCAACAGTGAATCATTATGACATTCCTGGCCAATGAGAACATCAAATCTGTTAAAATTTACAGACGATTGTCTGCACAATATAGTGATGATGGCCTGTAAGTAACTCTTGCATCTGTCAAAATGAGACCCTCAACTCCCTTGATGTTCACATAGTTGAACGAAGTGGCTGGTCTTGCAGCATGTGGTTTGTTCTGTATGCTTCCACACCCATCTTTAAATGATTTGCACTCATCATATACAGGTGTCCTTGACGAGCACTGATCGCAATCCTGTGCAGTCAATTGTCCATGAACTTCAATAATTTGATGTTTTCATTGATCAAAAATTTCATAATTATTCACTGTTCCATCTTCTTTGTTACCTCAATTGCCACCATCTTGATTTTCAGCACATGTATTAAAGCAGGAAACACAATTATGGGTATGGATAAAGAATGCTATGAAGACAAATTCTGAAAAAATTATTAATCAGCATGCTCTACTCAGTCTTTTATTAACAAAAGCCCAGGTCAAATTTGAACCACCCTCAAATATAGAAACCATTGATGTGCAAATATCTGTAGAGCTCCACTAGTTTCACTTGTGGCTGTCTGAAACTTGTGTTAGATGATGGGTAAAATAATTGAGATGTGTCCTTTATATTATGCACTGATGTCTGGAGGGTGCAGTGAGATATTCTCCAAGTTTCATCTGTATCCTATAAAACAAAGGGAAAATGAAAGTGATATACAGATGAATGCACGAGAGTCACTTTTGCTTCTATAGGACAAAACAGCTTCACTGTTGGTCTTCTGATCAACATGCCCTAAATTGATAAGGTTACATTTTCTTAAAAAATGCAATGAAAGGAAAGAAAAGATCTGTTGAAAGTGGAAATCAGAGAAAAGCCAATAATTGAAGAGTGCCTTATGCCCCCTACTGTCATAGCTCCATGAAGAACTTCTTTTTTAGGTGTCTTCTGCTATCTTGCTCAGTGTAGAGAGCTGATACCTCAGTTTTGATCTGATGTGAAAATTACTTATGACCACATAATATCATATGCCCATGGATGATTATTTAAAAAATGGAACTAGTACCCAATTTATAATTACTAACTACATTTAAAACTTGGCACCAGTTGAAAATTAAGTTAAAATGAGTAAAACCCACTTATTTATAGAAATACAACATATTCCAATTACACTTATGTTCACATCCTCTTTTGACTATAGCCTGAGAGTAGCTTCATGTATGAGATCAATACTTTTCTCATTTGATGCCTTGCAAAAATTTAAATGAAGAGAACATAATTTCTCTTACAGCAAACTCTTGCAAGAGCTATATGCACTTCTCATATGAATTTCATTTAATGCAACTACATTACTGGAAATAATGAAAAAAATGAGGCATTTGATTTCACCTGTAATCATTAGAGGGTTTTATCGCTGGTTAAGATTTGGTCATTAAAAGTAATGGTGACTCAATTCTCAACATATTACAGTAGCACATCACAAGTACTCCAGTATACCTAACTTCTGATTGAAACAATGTATATGGATACTAAAAGCCAATTTGTATTTTGTGCTTGACTTTGACAGGATAAGCAGTATTGCACATGACATGATATGTTTGAAGCTTCACAGGAAGACATAGCATTGAGATGTAAAGGACACATGAAACATTGGCACAATAATCACAAAAAGCACCATAACTTTCTGGCCGTTCTGGGGCTTACAAAAAAACAGAAGTATAAATCCTAGATTAATGGAATGTGGACACTGAAAAGCATAGGCATGCAGGTTAAAGAATGGAATTCTTCATTTAATGTGTGCTGTATTACTGAAACCTATAAGGTCCATTACCTTTACTTAGTGAAACCATTGAACTGCTAACTCTGGAGAAGATATAGAAATAATCTACAATGGTTCCATTATGTCTGTTCCTTCATATATGTCACTCCAGTTTGTGTGCTACCAGAACTGAGAACTAATAATAACTGAAGGAAATAATGAACTTGATTTCCCCATGATCATTTTCTAAAAGAAATAACTCAGCCAACTCTAAAAAAAAAGAATCTAGAGAGTGACAGAAAGCTTTAGCTGCCACAGAAACTGAAGCAGGTACACCTCATGCAGGAATTAGACTCGTTTGTCCATCCTTAGTTATCAATTGTATGAGACTTCCTGGCACAGGTCTTTCTTTCCCTTCGGCCCAATTATGAAACAGCTCGGCTACAAAGAATAAGGGAGTCCATGTGGAGACATCTGCCTTGGGCATGAACTTGCGATTCATTGGGGTATCAAGAGTAACAGGGCAAACAGCAACTGGCAGGGCAGCTGATGGCAAGCCACTCTTTTCAGCTGCCAATGATTTCACCAAATGATGAACAGCTGCCTTTGCCATCCCATAACCAATCATCCCAGGAGTTCCTTCCAAAGCAGCCTTAGCCCCACAGAATGCAACCATACCACCTGCAAAAAATTATATATAAGCCAATAAATAAAATATTTGAACTTAAGTTAGATCATTGAAACTGCAAAATCTGAACAAGGATTTAAAAAAATGAGCATGAGCACCTTCATTTAAGAAGTGCGCCCCAAGATGTGCAGCTACTGTAGAAGGCCAAACACTGGTTCTCCACATCGCATCTGCATTTTTTACCATTTCCTTGGAAGCTGCATTTCCACCTGCCCAACCACCAGCAACGCAGAGAATAGCATCAACCTTCCCTCCTCCTCCCAGAACCTGCTGGAGAGCTTCCACGACGGACGCCTCTTGCTGAACCCAGCTTTCTTCCGGATTCACGGTGATATTTGCGTCAGCCTGATCACTTTTAGAAACATCAATATTCCCCACCCACCAGTTGCTATTTTTGAAATGGGATATGCAAGCATTGCCCAAGGCACCTCTGCCACCGTAAACAAGGACACGTTTCATTTTCCAAAGTTACTTCTCTCTCAACGAAGCCCGGCAGGTGGAAGACACGTTGTAAAGTGTTTCCTCACTCTTGCGATAACTTCTGAAGTTATAGTGGATGTATTTTCCCAATAGATGTCAGGGAAGCCTGACCCAGCGCACGTGTGTACCGCCAATTCTGGCGGTTCGTGCCTGCGGGCTGTATGACGGCATCGTAGCCGCGCAAGGCCGGTGGGGTTTGGTAGCAATTATCATCCCCCTTATAAATACCGCATGTGGAGCCAGTATGCCCTCAGACGAGAGCGCAGAAGAGAACGTGACCTCCCCAACGAAGAAACCAAGAATGACGAGTGCATTGGACCAGTTGAAGTCTTTCACTACAGTAGTCGCGGATACAGGCGACTTCGAAGGTAGAGTTAGACTTATGTCCTTGTTGTCCTAGTCCTTGACTGAAATGATTGTGGGGGTCCTAGAGTAGCCCTACAGCAATTTTATTTTGAACTTAACCCATTTTAACTTGGATCTGACAGAATTCTTTATTCAGATTACCATTCTAACATTAGTGCTAGCATGCTCTCTGGGCGGATCTACCCCAGAATTTATTCTGGAATCCCCATTGACGGTAAACAGAAATATTAGTTACCCTTTTTTTTTATGAACTATGTTTGAACCTGATTAGAATCAGAGAAACAACTACAGACTATATTTTCTTCACCATGTCTATAACTACAGAACTCAAAAGGTGAGGTTGGACTATCTGCAGCATTAGGTTATTCAAAAAACTTTGAGTAACCTAATGCTGATGATTTCTATTGTCCAATGATTGCTTTAGCTTCATTCTAGAGATGCCACCCCTAGAATTGTTGATGTTAGATATCAACCAGCAAGTTTAAGTGGTGTCAGGCATTCCAAATGTGCATATATTATCCCCTTGCCATCATATGATGACATATACCATCATGCACCTTCCTTCAATTAAAAATTCCTTTTAAATTGTATAATTGTGATATAGACATCAGGTTTGGTTTAAATTGTGTGGCAAGGTTTGTGTATTACCCCTGTATGGTTGACAACTAATTTTAACAGGTGTCAAAGGCTTGAAAAAATAATTTTTTTCCATAAAAAAGTACTATGCAAAAGGTTTAAAAATGAACTTGTGACATGAAAATTTGAAACCTTGTGTGAAATATACTGTTAGCAATTACAGAAGTACATTCTTTGTTGCCTTGTTGAAATCCACTTTCAGCTGACTTCAAGATTCACTTTGATGGAGAGTTATTTTTTAAGATACATATTCTTCAAATCTTAAAATAGACCTAATATCAATTTTGGAAATGTTTACAGGGTGTCCCACTTATCGTGGACAATTTTAATCACGTATGAATTTCTTCCCATTTGAGCAAACTAAACAAAATTTTCACAATATTTAGATGTCTGTTTAGCATTTATTGTGACAAAGTTTCAGACAAAACAAATTCACCAATTACAAGTTATGAACTTCAACATGACCCCTGTCGATTTCAAGCACTTTTTCCAATTGTACCTGGTATTCAAGCAGTGTTTTCTGGCACATTTCAACGCTAATGTCGCCAAACGCAGTGGGAATACATTCCTTCAGTTCAGGAATGTCCCTCGGTTTGGTCGCATAGACTTTCGACTTGATAAAGCCCCACATGAAGAAGTCGCAATGCGTTAAGTCAGGAGAATAGGCCGGCCAGGGCATTGTTGGTGATCTACGACCCATCCATCGATCCAGAAATTTTTCGTTCAGCCAGGCATGAACTTCTTTACTGAAAAGAGGCAGGGCACCATCCTGCATGAAAACCAGATCATCAGCCAATCCTTGTGATTCAATTTCTGGCCAGAATTTTTCTTTGGCATTAAGGATGGTGCCCGCCTCTTTTCGGTAAAGAAGTTCGTGCCTGGCTGAACAAAAAGTTTCCGGATCGATGGATGGGTGGGGAATGCCCTGGCCAGCCTATTCTCCTGACTTAATGCATTGCGACTTCTTCACGTGGAGCTTTGTCAAGTCGTAAGTCTATGTGACCAAACTAAGGGACATTACCATTGAAATGCACCAGAAAACGCTGCTTGATTGAATACCAGCATGATTGGAAAAAGTGCTTGAAATCAATGGGGGTCATGTTGAAGTTCATAACTTGTAATTGGTGAATTTGTTTTGGCTGAAACTTTGTCACAATAAATGCTACACAGACATCTAAATATTGTGAAAATTTTGTTTTAGTTTGCTCAAGTAGGAAGAATTTCATACGCGATTAAAATTGTCCACAATAAGTGGGACACCCTGTACTTATGTATGCCTCTACTCAGTTCCTCAGCTATGCTGTCCACAAAATAATGACAAAGTCATTCCTTTTTAATTTTTTTTATATCAACCCTGTGTATAACCAAATTTACCTTTAGATGTCTCTAGTAGTTAAAATTGTTTTGATGCTTCAGCTGTTTATCCAAGTTAGAGCAATGAGTAACACCCTGCAGGAAGCACAGGCTGCCTGATGGAGCAAAAATAGTTGTGGAAGGAGTCATTGTCAAATAGCACTGCTACAATTCCAAATTTATATCATATCACTGGTTTTCTGAAAATGTCTAGTACTGATTTTAACAGCTCTGACCAGGTTTCAGCTTAGCAGATTTCAAATACAACTGTTCAGCTGGAAATTGGAGTTTGCTTCAGTAGCTGCACCAAGTTGAAGTGATCAGTTCAAGTAGCTCTCCTATCAACCATTTGCATGTGATTTTTTTAGATTTTTCTTTTGGAATGTGAGATATCAAAAGAACTTGCTAAAAGCATCAACTGGATATTCAAGAATATTAATGCCCTATCATCTAGTTATGCCACTATAAACTATTTTATACAAAAAGCCATGAGATAATGAGGCTGACACATTATAACTCAAAGCCATCATTATAAGCTTATGTCCAATTAAATGCACATAGCTACCAGCTATCACTCAAAGTGCCTTCCTTACTAGGCATCATTATTGGTTTGAAATAGTTTGATATAGTCGGCTTTTCATAAATTCCTAATGTTACCATGTATTTGTTTCTATGGTTCAATTTTTATGTCAGAGGGCAGATAATGAGCTGGAGTCACTTTTAATGTTTCTTGCTTTGCTTTGGCAAAGTACCTTTTACCTGTCTGGGAGGATTCTCATAAATGGAATGAGTGAGCATAAAATGTCTAGTTTTCCTATACTTTTGCCCATTAACACCTCACCTACTGTTTAAGCTTTGAATCCCCATATATGGAGACACTCATTGGCTCTTGAGGGGTGGGCCTATAGGCTATCCTGACAGCCCTACTCTTATGCCAGTCTATTCAGTCAGTCTACCTCTTTCATTTTAGCCATGAAGAAGTTCCAGCCCACAGATGCCACAACCAATCCATCATTGATTTTGGCAGCATCTGGAATGCCTCAGTACCAGCATTTGATTGAAAAAGCCCTCCAGCATGGCAAGGCGGTTGGAAAGTGAGTATTTTCCCTCCTTCCATACTCTTTGCTGTTTCCGAATGAGGATTATACCAAAACTCAAGAATTGCTCCATAACTTGCACAAGTATCAAAGTGAATAAAATACTTCAAAGGTGATGCAGCTTATCTTCATGCTTTGTGGGAACTCTTCGCAGCTGCATCAACGTTTTTGACATTTTAAAATTTGTGATCCCGAAGAGACAGAAAACCATGTGGTGACAGATCTGGTGAATTGTGAACGTGTGAATCATGTCTAGTACATCTCTCTTGTAATATGGAGCAGAGTTGGTATGAAACAGCAGTGGGGCCACTGATCAGGGAGTTCTGGTCATTTCCTACCATAACACTTCGTTGTTGAGGGATGAAAACAATTTTGCAGAATCTCTATAGTAATAGCGGACGTCTGTCCGCCGGAGGTCGCACGGGTCGACTTTTACGAACCCGACCCGATTGGCTCGATTCGAATCTCGCACCCGTCCTGAAACTCGCCGACTTAGCTTTGCGGGCCTGACCCGCACGGATTGCATTGAGCCGGTTCGCATGAGGGGTTTTCTAAGGGGGAACTCCCTAAAAATTTGTATTCAGGCTATTCCCTGTTCTCTGGTGACGGAACGCATCCCTTGCTACTAGTCCAAAGCATGTCTGTTTGAAATTCACACGTTGTGTCTTTTTGGAGAAGACCGGAAGCTTCCCTCATTTTCTATATGATACCTGGGAGTTCCAAATTCGTACGGTGTGTCTCAATTGAATGCTATGAAATGGAATTCCATTAGCTTCGATCAGACGCGAATGTTTCACGAGTAACAGCTAGTGGTTTGTAATGTGCATTTACTGTGGTATCCTTATGAGCAGTTGTCAGCATCACTGAATGTTTTACAAAAGATTACGCAAAGTTGAAGCTAATCTACCAGCGGTTAGAGGAAATATTGAAAGATTTCTTTAATTGAGCATAGTCATTGAAAAAATGCGTGCCATGGGAGGAAGCAAATAAGGCGAAAAGTCCCCGTAAAGATCAAAGTGATTCATTTTTTCAGCAAGAAGAGAAACGGAAGAAAAATTCACTCCAAGGAACGACAGTCATGTTTTAGGCGTTGAAGAGCAAGGAAAAAATAATGGATTGCATTGGAAGCAGCCCGTATGGCCCGTAACCATCTATTAATTGTAACCCATTGATCAAAGAGCATTCTGCGATGCGAAAACAGTGCTTCCGTTGTTTCATTTCTGGAAATGTTTACCCTTTGTTGCTAGAGGAGATTCTCTTGGTTCACTTTATTTGCCCCTCTTGTTTTATTCTTCGTGGCATTCACGCCCTGGAAGGGTTAATTCTTTGAGATGTGGTCGTTCAATTACGGCTGGAAGAAGTCGCACGGGGTTAAGTCGGTAGACTTCGGAGGCCGTGGAACCGAGAAGTGTTCTCCAGCAATTAGCTGGCCGAATGCCTGCCGAAGATATTGTATTGAGTGATGGCAACTGTTCGATGTGCAGCGGGACCATCCTGCATCAATCACACATCCCTAAGAAAGTGCATTGGGACAATCAGACTGACAGTACGATAAAAGCGGAAGGGCCTGTCACAGTATTATCCCACCGCTGGACACCAAT